AAATAAAATATAAATGATACATTTTTATTTTTATATTTTACTTAATTTCTCATCAAGTATTAATCCTAGAAATGAGATTTTACTACCATTAGATTCGTCATGTTGAGACGATTCCAATGAGCTATATTTCATCCTTTTCTGATCACTGGATCAAAAGTTAGCAAACTGCTTGATTGGTGACGGTATTTGGCGAAAATGCCAATCAGGCACCAATCAGCTACCTGATTGGTGACTGATTGGTGCCTGATTTTTCACTTTTCGACCTGTGCTACCTGATAATACTAATCCAATTCTTCAACCTCTTTTTTACTTGAAATCCGATTAGAGCTATATGGCCTAAACTGTGAAATTAAATTTGGTTCTACTATCTAGTTTATCACTAAATAATGCGTAATCTGCGATCATCCTCTTCATTCGTTTCACTCCTTTATACTAAATATCTCTATATCCCATGCGTAAGACCATCCCGCCTAATAAAATATTAGGCAGCCAGTATAAATAACTAGCTACTTTAATTACAAAATGATAAAAAAAAAGTATAAATAATGATTGTACACATGATAGTAATAGTGATTATAAGTCTGAGTATAACTTAGTAATTTATATATATACGTATGTATATATATTTGATCTTACTAAAAGCCCAATGCTTAATTAGTAGTTTTCTTTATGATAATTAACAAGTATTAATTTAAAATATTTTTTGAATACTTTTTTAAAGTAGCAATTATAAAGCATTTATAATTAATATTTAATTTGCAATATATTACAGTAATAACTAAATATTTATTTTAATTACAAATAGGTATTCATAAAATATTAAGCATTCAGTAAATACAAAATTTAAGCATTTATTAAATAATTTGTGTTTGATGAATACAAGTTTAACATTTGATCAACTTCGTGATGATAATAAAATTTATAATTGATTTTACTAAATTAATACAGTGCGGTACCTCTATAACTGTCTCTTATACACATCTAGATGTGTATAAGAGACAGAGCCCGGATTGCTACAATATTATTAATAGGAATAGATAAGGGATTTAAAGGACAAAGAACATAATGATAAATCATTAAAAAATATTCGTTTAAAAATAAAAAAAAAATCAATTTTGATCATATTTATATTTTAAATAAAATGTGAGCTGAATCTTTTAAAAAGGTTTCTTTAATCGACCATTCAAAATCATATTAAATTTTTCTATTTTCTTTAGATCTTTACTAAAAATGAGAAATACAAAACACTCTTCTGTAGCAAGAGTATAAAATAACGAGATAAAAAGAATATTTGTTTGATGCCGTTAGTAAAATTTTAAAGACTAAGCATATAGGTGGAAAATTTAACTAGGCATGCTAAATGAAAACAAACAACTCTATACAATTTGTAACTGGAAAGGAATTATTTATCAAACAAAATTTACAAAAATCTTATTCTAATTTAACTCCGGATGAATGTCAACATTAAACAATGGAATAGATTATAGAAAATGAATCATTACCTGATATAACACTTTNGTTTAAAAGCTCTTGATATGCTTTATTAAAATTATCGGTTAGAATTTTAAAATATTATTTTTTGCTAATGTGACATCTTTTTGAAAATGTCACATTATGACTATAAAATTGGGTTGGTTATAGAGGTACCGCACTATACAATTGGTTATTTATTTTTTTTTTTACAATTTTCTTTTAATTTAATTTTAATGACCTTTTTTTTTTATTTTATAATGGAAAATATTATTACTAAGATAATTTAATAATATTATAAGATAAAGTATATTTTTATTAAATAATAAACTATTTTTACAAGTAATATTTTTATTTTAAATTACTTAAACCTTAAATTTTTATAATTTTATATAAATTATATTATATTAGTATTTTAATACTAAAAATTTATATTTGAAAATTATATAATTTTGTAAACCTAAATTATATAATTCAGTTATCACTACTATAAAAGTCATATTATAAAAATAACCAAGTAATATAATGAGTATTTGCTAATCTTTCATAGTTATTGGTTATATATAATAATTTAAAATTTAACAATTTATTTACTGTTCCCTTTGAATAATAATAATAATAATAATAAAAATAATTTATTTAGGCTGGCACTAAATTATCATAATTTTAGCTCGAATTATAAGAAATTTTGGCCAATAAATTACGTTTACATGATATGATTTTTTATTTACTGATTTATTTTTTTTATAGCGTAAGTATTACAGTTTTATTGTTTAGTATTAGACTTATGTAAATATCATTTATACATATTTATTTATTCAAAAATTTAATTTATTTATATTTAAATATCATATACAAAGAAATATTGACAAATTGATATGAACTGTTTTACATCAAAATATGTTGCTTATTTACATACATTATCTCTTAAGCAAATTTTCATCTTTCTTATCATAAATATTGCATTTTTTTTTAATACAATTTAAGCTAAATATGCTGATGAACTTACATTTCCACCATGACCAGTCCAATTAACATGAACGTCAGTATCTTTCGGATGTTTATCGTCAGTATATTCATCAAGATATCTGAAAGTATGGGCACCAAAGTAATCTCTTTGAGCCTATATAATTATAAATTAATTAATTAATTATATATAAATTTGATTATATAATTAGAACATTCGTTAATTTTCTTTTAATGTTTTACCTGCAAAAGATTAGCTGGTAATCTTTCATGTCTATAACCATCATAAAAAGATAAAGCAGTTGATAATGCTGGAGTTGGAATACCAAGAATAGCTGCTTGTGCTACAACTTGACGCCAAGAATCTTGAGCATCATCAACAGCTTTCTTGAAGAATGGGTCAAAAAGTAAATTTTCAAGTTTCGGGTTCTTGGTATAAGCATTCTTAATATCACCAAGAAAAGCACTGAATAGAAAAAATTTTCACTTAAGAAGAGTTTTATTAATTAATTTATAAAAGTTAAATTTATAATTACCTTCGTATAATACATCCTCCACGCCACATTAAAGCGATACCAGCATTATTCAAATCCCAATTATGATCCTTAGCAGCTTCACGCATTAACATAAAACCTTGAGCATAGGAAATCAATTTTGAAGCATATAAAGCTTGACCCAATTGTTTAACAAACAAGTCTTTGTCTCCTTCAAATTTCTTATTTTTTGGTCCTGGCAAGATTTTGCTTGCACGAACACGTTCATCTTTTAAAGATGAAAGTGTACGAGAGTAAACAGCTTCACCAATCAATGTAACTGGAACTCCAAGGTCAAGTGATGATATGGCAGTCCATTTACCAGTACCTTTCTGTAATAATAAAAGAAAAATAGATTAGATATTTATTAAATAAAAATACTCTATTAAATAGATACGTACTTGACCAGCAGTATCTTTAATTTTTTCAACTAAGGGAGAACCATCATCATCTTTAAATCTCACAATATCTTTAGTAATATCAATCAAGAAGGAGTCCAATTCACCTTTGTTCCAAAATTCGAAAACATCACCAATCTTATCATGGTCAAAGCAAAGTCCTTCTTTCATTAAATGATATGCTTCACAAATAAGTTGCATGTCACCATATTCAATACCATTGTGGACCATTTTAACATAATGCCCAGCGCCAGTTTCACCAACCCAATCGCAACATGGTTCTTTACCAACTTTTGCAGCAATGGATTGGAAGATCGGTTTTACATGTTCCCTAATTATAAATTTTTAATTTTTTTTTTTTAAAAAAAAAAAAAAATTATATTTGAATTCTAATAAATAATAATTTATTTTTACCATGCAGCTTTAGAACCTCCAGGCATAAGAGAAGGGCCATAACGTGCACCATCTTCACCACCAGATACACCACATCCAATAAACAAGAAACCTTTTTCTTCCAAATATTTGCTTCGACGAATTGAATCTGGGAAATGAGAGTTACCACCATCAATGATTATGTCACCCTGATCAAGATGAGGAATGATTTGTTCAATAAAATCATCAACAGCGGATCCAGCTTTAACCAAAAGCATAATCTTTCGTGGTTTTTTCAATTTGCAAACAAGATCTTCAATAGAACTAGCACCAATAATTTTAGTGCCTATATGTGTAACATAATAAAAAAAAAATTGGTTAAATATCAAGAGATGAAAAACAATGCATTGATAAATAACAATGAGATTACCTTTTGCTTCATTAGCCAAGAAGTGTTCCACCTTAGATACAGTTCTGTTATAAGCAACTACTGTATAGCCATGATCATTAATGTTAAGGATAAGATTTTGGCCCTAAATTATCAAAAGAAAAAAGTTATTTTCAAAATAAAAATACAATCCAAACATTACAATATCACATACTTACCATAACGGCAAGGCCAATAAGACCGAAGTCTCCACTACATTAATTAATATAATAAATGAAATGATTTAGTATAAACTATATTTTGGTGTTATATGAAGCACAATTAATAAGATATGTCAATAATTGTTCATCGAAATAATTCCCTTCAAAAATAGAATTCTGAGAATTAAAACATTTGAAAAAACTTACGTTGGTGTACTCATATTTATTTTATGTTAAAAAATAAAGAATAAAAGGTAATTTTAGAACTAGATAAATGATTTGAAAAAAAATTTTTTGATGCAAGAAAAAACCAGCGGAGAGGTTTTTATCAGTCCAAATTTATTCAAATTGGGTTAATAAGCAAAGTTTTTTTAATCAGGATTAATTAATTTAATCAATTTACGATTATGTCACACGTGTTTCATATTTCGCATGAATCCTAATATGACTAACTTTGATTGTAAATGATCCGATTTTTAATACGAAGGATTTCAAACATTAATAATATTATTAATATAATTTTATACATCAGTAATGCGTTAATTGCAAAGGTTTTAAAATTAGTGTGATTTTATTTGATAGTGTTACAGTCAACTGATAAGTCATTTGACTTAGTTGATCTTAGAGCTTGCATTTTTTTTTCGCGTATCAAAAGATAAATTTTTTTTGTTGATAAATATTATAAATATTATAATTTATATCTTCATCGTAATATCATATATTAAAAAAAACAAAATTATAAAGTAAAATGCAACTATATCACAAATTTCTTTTAATAATGAGATTATCAATAATAATAATATTCCCTTGCATCTGAAAAATCCGTTCAGGTAGCACAATATAAGGTGAGTCCACAAACCTGTTGTAAAAGAGAAAGTAGTTCACGTAAATTTTTTAACAGTTTAGTGTTTTACATGGAATAGGATAGCGTGATTCAGGCCTATTAATAAATTTTCTTACAAGAAAAGCTTACATACCAATCCACTAGCCAATCTAATAAATCATTTGCAATTGCTTTTATTTTCAGTTTCGGATCCTTATGTTGTGTTCTTAAATGATTAACAATACTGGTTGTTTACTTGTTTTATTTTTTGCAGGACCATTCACATTAACGTTTAATACCATTATCATCTACAACGCTCCCGCTGATCGTTTTGATCAGAACTGCTCATTTTACGAAGGAGTATCTTAATTTCAAAAAGAAAGAAATAAGTTATGCAATTTTTTCAAACACATAAAGAAATTAATAAACGCAATTTCATTTCTATAAACATTAATAAATTGGATGATTTATTTTTGGGAAGGGGGCTTTTTTTTTTTGTTTCGCAACAATTAAAAAATTTCATTAGCAATAACTGTAGTTGCATTAAGATAAACAAAAAATGTATTACTAAATCAACTAGTCAATCGATAATGACTGTCTCTGATCGACCATTAGAGTGCCAAATTATTGATTGTAGATTATCCAGATTATCTCCAATTTTTTAGTGAAGTTCACTTAAATTCTAACCCCAAATTACGATTAGATGATAAAGACTGCAAAGATACGAGTTTATATTACTGATTTCAATTACGCATCTCATTATGCAATCATTTACTCTTGAGCCTTTTCCAACAAGAGGGCAAATTCATATTTTACTTTATAAAAACGTATCAAATGCAGCGGAATTACGTAAACGTCTATTATCTCACGATCAAGAATTATCTTACGCCTTTATAGACGCTAAAATGGTAAATATGATAGGATCTGAATTTTTTAAGTTGATAGAATTATTAATAATCTATTATATTATATTAGGTACTGGATAAGTTTCAATTGCTAGTAGCTACAAATGACGCAGTACAACATGAATTAAATTCTTCGCTTAAGACTCATAATGTACATTCTGAAATTGTTTATAGTCTTTCTCCAACAACAAACGTAAGTTCATTTTATTAAATTATTCATTTTTAAAATATATATTAAAAAAATCTTAAATTTTAAATAATTAGATAAGTGAATCATTACGAAGATTTGGTATTTCCGATTCTTCGACTTCAATCGTTGTCGTTAAAGTTGGAGGAAATAGTGAAGAGGTAAACAAAATTTCATATTATAGATAAATGAATATGTATGTATGTATATATATATATGTATGTTTTATTTTTTTTTTCTTTCTTTTATAATTTAGGCGAGATCTCATTTATCTACATTAATTCATGGAGAGGAATGTGATATCAAAGATTTTTCAAATTTTGTAGATATTTCAAGAATTAAAAAGGTAATTAATTTTAATTGATCGATATTTTTAAATATTTATAAGTATGTTAATATATTAAAAAATTTTATTTAGTATTATAAGATTGATGATAAAATTAATGATCAAAATGAGATGCTTGATATAATTGTTGGTTCTATCGCTATTAAAAGTGTAAGTTAATATAATTATAAGGTACGTGTAAAGAATGATAATATTAATACTAAAAAAGTAAATTAATTTTATGATAATAAAATAAAGTTTATCCTGTAAAATATAAATTTGATTGTCTATCGTAGTAATTAATCATTGATCAAAAATAATCAAACTTTACAAACTTTACAAGCTTTTACGGGGAAAAAAAAAGACTATTTTATCGAGATAAATAAAATCATTATGAAATGATTTAAATCATTGAGTTTTTTTTTTCAAAATTTTTAAAATTATTCCTTATTCAGATTACTTCGCGTTTTATATCTTGGGAACTTGCAAAATGCGAGTGAAGGATCAAGAAATGGATGAATACGATGATTACAAAACTCCAACATCTTCAAGAAATAATACGCAAAGTATGGTCCTAGAAGATGATTTGTTTATTATGTCACGAAACAGTACACAACGAACAGATCAAGATATGGATGAATACGGGGACGAGACTCCATTTAGTTCTCAAAATAATACACAACAAACTGATCAAGGAATGATTGAGAATTACGAAGAAGAAAATAATCAAGAAATGGAAAATGTATTTATATATATTTTCTTTTCTCATTTTTGAAATAATTTGCCATATAAATTATAATATTTTTTTGTAATTTTGATAAATTTGAAGGAGAGTCCTCCTAAAAAAAGGAAACGAACAACAAAGAAAAAGGATGAAACTCGAGATAATGAAGTTCGTTCATTTATTATTATTTAATTTGTTTATTCGAAATCACTTTTATTCAAGATTCATTTTTTAAATGTTTGTTCTTTTCCAAATTCTTTCAAACAAGACATCAACAACAATTAATAAAAAAAGTCGACGTGCTCCGACCACCACACGTAAAGAATCCACTTCAAAAAGAAAATCCAAGAAAAAGCCCGCTTCGCAAACTATATCTTCCGATACTGAGCTTCCCAAAGAATTAATTAGCGAAACAATCACTTCAGAAACTTCAGAAAATCAAGTTAAAACTAAAAAATCTCCTGCTGGTAGAAATTTTTGGAGTTTAGAAGACGATAAAAAGTTAGTTGATGCAGTTTTGGTGAATTTACAAGATGTCCCTTGGTCTAAAATTGCTCGTGAAAATTTTTCTAATCGTGACAGATCTGGTTGTTATAACAGGTGGAATGTCTTAAAGAAAAGATTATATCAAGATATGAATGGTAGTAGCGGTGAAAAATAATTATATAACTTCATATGCAAAACATCCAATTTTATCATTATAATAAAGTTCTTCCATATTAAATATGATTTTATTTAGAAAATTTTTCAAAAATTTTCCCATTTTTCATTTTGATTTTTTTAAATTAAATTATTTTCATAAACATCAATCTGATCCGAACATAATTAAAATATTCGTTAATAAAATTTAAAAAAAAACTAAAATTACTTCTTAAAGAGATATTAAAACCTTATGTAACAATTGCATGTTCTCTTGCTTTGGCTTCTTCGTATTCTCTCCTCCTTCTTCTATTTTCCAATAAAGTTTGTTTACGTTTTTGAATTAATTCTAATTGTCGTTTCTCAAGATAATAAACATAAGATCCTACTCCTCCAAAAAACACTGTTGAAAGTGCATGAGTCGCAGGTTCTATAAAAATAAATTTAATTGATTTAATTTTTTTTTTTTTTTTAAAAAAAATCAAATAAACTTACTATCTAATAAAGGTCTTTGTTGAATGGCTAAAGCAACTACTCTAACCGCAAATCCAAAAGCACTCCACCCAACAACATATGGAATAACTCCGGACATTTTCAATTTTCTATAATGCTATAATTCTATAATTGTTTATAAAAAAAATTAGTATAAATTAAATGGATTAACCGTCCATTCTTTTTTATTATTTACCAAACAAGTCCAAGAAGGAAAATGAATTTTATCTTACAAAGATTATATAAACCTTGCATGAAATTCATATGGCATCCGTTTGTTTACACATGACGATTGATCTTCAAAGATCTACAAGATAACCTCGCATATCATGTCCATATCCACCCCTAAACGACAAAAATAAAATTCTAACGAAACATTCAAAGAATCACTTTAGCTTCAAAAGCATTTTTTTTAATATAGGTTTGCAATAATGTTCGGTTTTAGCTCGCTTTTACCTCCGGATTGGGTAAGATTACGTTCTATTTTGAATTTTCAAACTTGAAAATTCTTCCAAAGTTTTTACAATTTGCTTTTATTTTCTAATTTAGGCCGCATTCTTCGGCTCACTTAGTTTGGCAGATATGTGAGTAACTTTCTGACATATATTCTAAGATTTAATTAATTTTTTTTCCAATATTGTTTGATTTATTATTTTATAGAATCGCAGGAATACCAGCTTTTCTTGTCATTTACACAGTTCTACCAAGTGCTATATATACAGCACGACATAGAAGCAGTAAAGGAAACTGGTATATCCCACCTGAACCTACTGATGAATCCCCTTCAATGCAAGCTAAATTGGTTTGATATTTATATTAAAATTTACATCATATTTTATTACAATTTAATTTTAATAAATAACATTATATATCTAATAGCTTTTATTGAACAGTTTGGCAGTATTATTTTCAGTCAAATATATTGCGCAATACATATTTAATCATCCAGGACCAGAAATTTTTGTCACGGGAACTCTATTAACTGTTATAGTAAGTAATTATCTAATATATATATATATATTTTCAAATTACTTTATAGATAATTCTAATTTAACTTCTGTTTCTTTAGTTGATTACTGTAGTCATATACCATTATGAGAATAGAGGAATTATAAAACCAGCAATTCCTCTTTCTGTCCTTTGGGGAACTACAACACTTACTACTTTATATTATACGACTTCAACTCATGATATCTCTCATGAGATATATCTTGTATCTAGCTTGTTAATGTTTATGTTAGAATGGGCTTCTCCAAGAACACCTGTAGAATCCGTAAGTTTTGTAAGTTTTAAAGAATAATCATTATCTTTTTTTTTTTTCAGAATTATATTTTTTATTTATTTATTTATTTAATTAGACTGCCACAACTCCTGGAGTTACACAAAGTAATGATACATCTCAGACTGAAAAAGTTTCTACAGAAGAATCTAAACATTCGAAATCAGAATAAAGAATATACAATATAAAAAAAATTTCAGCATTTATTATATACATCGTTTCAAGAACAATTAACATTAATAAAAAAAAAAAATTTTACGTTTTATAACATTTAGTTAGTACAAATCCATTTATCATAGATTTTAAACTGATAATTAAAGTTCAAATTAAGGGAGAATCTTAACATGGCAACACTTAATACATTTAAAATAATAGCAGCACAATTTCATTATTGCAAAATTAATATCATATCTTTATATTTAACTTCACCATGATCTGATTGATCTGATTAATGCAAACCTTGTTGATCTATTTAATTTAAATATATTAGCAATAATCCATATATTTTTTAGATATGTATTGAATTGAACTGAGGAAAAGGTTTTGATTACTATTAGTCTATTACAATTAAAATATTAAAATGCTTACAGTTAGGATTCTTGAAAATCTTTACTTTTGCGTCATAGGTTTCATTCAGTTTATTTACTAATAAAAAAAATTTTTTTTTTTATTTTTTTATTTTTTTTTATTTTTTTTTTTTTATTTGATAACAAATGATGAGAACTTTCATTAATAATCAAAATCATACTTTATTTAAAAAAATTTTAAAACCACGTTCAATAATAATATCACGATTTTTAACTATAAAATCAATAAATCAAAATGATAAAGATATATCTAGTCAAACTGAAGATGAATATAATGAAATTTTAAAAACACATCAAATTCCTGGTAGATATCTCCATTATTTTAAGAAAAATGGAAGGCAATTAAAGAAGGAATCTCAATTCGGAGATGAGGTTTGTATCATATTTTTTAAAATATATATATATATATATATACGTATTTTTTCATTAAATTAATATAATATTAAATAATAGGCTATTACTAAAATTTCAGCAAGAAAATTACGTTCTGGACATACAGTTACTGACGTGAAAGAAAGTAATAATGAAGATAATGTCGATTCTTTATTATCTTTTAAGGGTTTTTCTAGAGCGCAACAAAATATCGCCCAAAGATTATCTCGAGCAATAATAAAATGCAATGATGATGTACCTCATAATCATTTAACTTCTACCTTTGTACGGATTATGAATGTACGTGTAATATTCTTAAAATTACCTTTAATGCTTAAAAATGGACATATATATATATATATATTACTATATTTTAGATCGATGTATCACCCGAACTTAATTTTGCTAGAGTTTGGTGGAAACCTGATCCACAAAAAGGAATTAACAAGGTAAGATACAAATTATTTTTCAAAATATTTTTAATTGTGCAATTTTAATTTCTTTAATACCAAATTTTGAAAGTCAAAAATAGATAATACAATGAATAAATATTCAACTAAATATCGGAATATTTTGCAACGTGCCATGCACATGAGAAATCCGCCAAAAATAATTTTTTTGCGTTATGATGAAGCACTTGGAAATATAAATGAACTTTTAGATAAGATTGAAGAAGAATTGAAAGTAAAGGATAATGAAGTTGACAATTGAGAAATCCCAACTCAAAATTTTAATCGCCATCACATGACTTTCCAAAGCTTGTTTTAAATTATTTTATTATAATAATAAATTTTAATAACAAATTTCCATACAAAATGAATGTAAAAAATAGTAAAAGTAGTAAAATCAATAATTGATGAATGATTGCTATAATAGCAGTTGTATTATATAATAATTATCTGTTATAATTTGTTTGCCGCTAAAAGAATAAAAATTTTTATCATACAATCATAAAGAAATATTTTAAATTTCTTCAAGTAAAATGTGATAACATAAGTCTTTTAGGTCTATAAAACAATACCTTCCTACTGACATTTAAATAATTTTTTAATTCAAGCAAAATTTCAATAAATATTAGAGAAATGTTCATGACTTTTATTGTTGTTTATGGGAGAAGAATATAATACTTATTATGGTGGTGGTGATGATACCATGAGGCTGGAGGATGACCTACTGTTATTATCCACTTCAATAACATTTGATCTTATAAATGCAATCGGAATTTCTCCCATGATCGCGTCCAGCGGATCATCATTTTCACGTCCATTTTCCATATCTCTCGATTCTTTACTTTTCTCTGTATCATGTTTTTCCTCATTATTTACATTAGTCATAATTGGTGTTGAATCATGTGTTTCTTGTGTTATTGACCCGCCGTTATCCAGATCGTTTTCTTCTGATATAGGTGCTAGTCCATTTTCTGCGCTCTCAGCCATTGCTTGTATAGTTGATGATATGAATTTTGATCTTTCCTCAGGTGTTAAATATAAAAATACAAATCCACGTACATCAACGTCAGTGTCATCCGCAAGTCGACGTAACATATTATTGATTTGTGAAGGTCGACTTGAAGAATCCTGATAATATTGTTCTTTATCAAACAAATTAGAATAATTAACATGATGAATCATCATAAAGAAAATTAACATATTAATTAATTATAAACAAAATGAAATACCCATTCGACATAATTCACCAACAAGCCTTGCTAACGCAATTCTAACATTTATTACCCTATCTGATGCAAGTTTTTCTAAATCATTTAAGAAATGTCTTGCAAATTCCTCCTTCGGATAATCCGTAGAAACAAGAGCATTGCAAATCTGCACAAAACTATGAAATATATTTTAAACGATATCTCAATAATCAATTTATTATACGTATTGATGAAATAATTTTTTTTTTGTAAATTTAAACTTACACTACTCTGCCTCTAAATTTATTATCAGAGGCAAACTCACATACTCGTTTTATCATGTCATTATAACATGACTCATCGTTTCGAACGACTTGAAATAAAGTTGGAAACTATACAAAAATTAAAAAAATAAATAATATATACCTCGACATTTAATTAAGAATTGCATTTGTAAAAATGTGACCTTATACTCACACTAGAGACGGCTGTTTCTCGAACACTAGCAACATCATCCTTGATCGCACGGATGGTTAAAGGTAAAATATGATTTATAACATTTTGACTATTAAATAGTCTGCATAACGCAGGTAATTGTCTAATAATAATTATGTAATATTAAGAAAAATAGTATTCACGAGAATAAATAATTAAATAATTAAAATAAATGCAATTTACTTTGCAATCTCGTCTCTCAAACGCCATTGATGATTTACTCCATCCCATACATCATTTAATGACGGCAAATAATCGTTCCGAGTGTTTAGTGGTAAACACTCGATGAAATCTGCAAGATGTTCCATGAGACCTGATTTAACTTCATCCATATCATCTAAATAAGATCTAAAAACACTCAGTAAGTCTCGTTCTGTTTTTGAGGGACCAATTACTTTTGCGATTTCATGAAGCGAACAAGCCAAAGACCTTCGAACTTTGATCTATAATCATACAAGTATTAATTTCAATAAAGTTAATTAAAAGAATTAATTAACAAAAGTATCAATTTAAACCTGCATATCTCGCGTTAAAGAAAAATATGTCTCTTTTAGATCGTCCCATCGACTTTCTCCCAGAGTTAAAACTACAGCTAGAGTAGATATTTAATAAAATTTTCAAAATAAATTAATATCCAAATAATATAATAATAAAGATGTATCTCGTATCTTTAATGCTCACCGGGAAAATTATATGCACATATAACTGGGCGTTCCGGATCTCTCTGTCCAATCCCGGTATTATTATAAGCACTACCAGTTACATTGGTAATACCGATAGTTGATTCCCTAACAGGCCCCAAACTAAGGAAATGTTGTACCAAACTTTCAGGTACCTTACCATTAGGATGGAAAGTGGCAATTAATTCACCAATAATTTCGCCAGCAGCTGATCGCACACTTCGGCTTACATCTCCTGCGAAAAGTTCAATTCCTTTCACAGCTCGTTCAGCTTTCATTTCTTCTGGAAGGCGAGAGCATATTGTAGCTAAGACTAGGCAGCAAGAACGACGTACGTGCCAAATAGCATCGGTTGAGAAATGGTCGTATATGGGTAACTTTTGATATTATTGTTTGCTGAATATGAAAAACTAGTAATACAACTAACCAGAAGCAAAACAAATGCTTGTTATTTACCAATTTTGACGTAATAATATCCAAAGGTAAAATTCCAGCTAAACTTCCAACCGCTAAAGCCGCTTCCTATATAAACCGATTATGATTTGCGAAATTAATCATATCATCAATAACAAAGGAAACCGTAGGTTCCAACTAAAAACTAATCCCACCTTCCGTACATAAAACACTGGCTCATCTGACATTTTATCTAATTCTGGCACAAATAAACGTGCACATTTTTCTGGACCAACAATAGGTGCAAGTGATGATATTAACTGTAAAATAAAAAAAAAATAATAATAATTAGACTATTTGTAATTCTTAATAATAACTATGAATGTTGTTGATCGTATATACCGTCATCATAGTCATTCGCCCCAATTCAGCTTCTTCTTCGCCACCAGCAACGGCACCAACACTTGTATCATCACCATCCGCGTCCCATTCTAAATCCTCTCTTTTCGCTTTCTCCTGATCTAATTTGCCTATACCTAAAACAACACCCTCTAAAGTCTCTCTCTCCAATAATTCCTTTTCTTTAGGATTTACATCAGGTTCTTCTAATATTCTCTCAACTAGAGACTGAACGGCTGCTTGTGCTGCTGCTGCGATGCTAGTATTTTGATCAAGAAGAAGTGCATGAAGAAGAGGAGTAAAAGCAGCAGGAGATAAATATGGTAAATGACTAGTTGGTGTTTGTGGTTGTGCAGGAAGTTGTTGTAATTGCTGCTGTATTGGTGTTTGTGGTCTTTGAGGTGTTTGAGGTCTTTGTGGTGTATGTGGACGCTGAGGCGTCTGAGGTCGTTGGGGTGTCATTGGTCGAGAATTTATAGACCCATTATCCCCTTGAACGTTATCTGATGTATTTTCTCTCAGTGGACAATGCTATTCCGTAAATATAAGATGTTTCTACTTAGGATAACTGATAATAATGCGATTCCCAAATGGTCTATCTTTATATCTAATAAGTAATTATACGTACAGAATAATAAAACCATATAATCTTATCTACTTCAGGTGCAAATGCTTCACGGACGTGATCCTCTACATATAATAACAATTAAAAATATTAGATAAAGTAGATAATGAATTTATACGAATTAAATAATATAATTAACATATCAATAAATGAACCTGGATCAGTTCCCAAAGAGTTCATCAAGGGTAACACATATTCGACTGCTTCACTAATTTCCACATCTCTTATTAATGAGGGAAGTTCCTTTGCAATGAACACTCTCATAAAGAAAATATACAGTAGATCCCAGACCACAATTCGATTAATTAATTAGAAAAAGCTAAATAACAAATAATAATAATATTTAATATTATACTTACCTATGAAACACCAAATCACTCTTCACATATAAGAATATCTTTTCAAGTGGTGATAAAGAGTCGTCCAATAGAAGTTCTTCATCCTCCATTTCTTCTGCAGCAACGTCAGAAAGATGTTCTATGAGGAAATCCAAGAAAAAGAATTGAAACTTTGTAGATAATCATTTAATAGCTTTAGTGAACAGGATTAGGACTATTCGTACAGTATATCCAAAAAATTCCAATTTGCAAATTGTTTATGATTTGGATATCCTCAGAAGCTGTGCAATTCAGTCTTAATGCAACAGCTAATGTACAAACATTTTAAAAAAGTTCTGGCCACTTACCAGGAACACCCTCTGCCATTTCAGCCAGAAGATCTTCAGAATCCAGTTCGTTACCATCCTCAAGATCTTCTTCCCTTACCGGAAGGGGGTCTTGGTTTTCTAAACAAGTTACAAAAGATTGTAAACCACCTTTTTTTCAAAACATTTGGGAAAACAATAATTTTTTTATAATAAAGTAGGCTTGAGGCTTTACCTGCCATTACGCGCTTTTAAATAGAATAACTCGGGCAAGGTAATAAGAGAATTCTTGCGATGGGCAAACGGGTTAATTCTTACGTTTTCGAGTTTGACCAGTTTTCTAAAAAATTTGATGCAATGTGACGTAACGTTTTTTTGGTGAATTGTGTGTGGCTGTTATTACAATACCCTATGGATGATCCGAACATTTAATACGCGGCAATTTACATTACTGATTTAGACCTAAATGATCTTAAAAGTATCTTAAATGACCAAATAATTCTATTTTTAGAAGCTTAAATAACCTGAATTATAAATGTGCGGTCAATTCTCTTTAATGTTGATTCAACTTTCGTGGGTTTCAACTATACAATATTATTTAACTGATACAACGACAATTTTGACTTGCGTATCAAATTTTAAATAAAAAGATGAATGCAAAAAAAAAAAATATATATCGGATATTATAGTTTAGCAATATCTCGATGATCATTAAAATCATTTTTATCTTTAGAAGTTTTTAACCTAACAGAATTAGACTTATTATTTTCTGATTCATGAACAACCATTCCTAAACCAACTCCCCATTCGTTTTTCTGTTGTCTCATACTACTTCTGATTCTCCATAATAGGCCACCAAAACCACCAAATCCATGATATAATACCGCTTTTCGGCTGGGTGCAGGTATAATATGTTTTACGTGGTGTTCTAAAACTAATCCATTTCTAGGGTCAAATCTATACATAAAGATACCTGAAAAAGTTGTCCGCGGAATTCGAGTTCCACGGGGAGAAAACATCGATTTAATATAGGATGACCTTGGCGTTCCCTCAAATGTCCAACGAATATAAAGTCGCGTGTTTCTATCTGATGGTGATATTGAGGTCGTAGAAAAATATGATGTATGTGTTTTTAAAAAATCTTTCTTTATGTGGCTGAAATAATTATCATCATTTATCGCGTCTTTAAAATATATATCTTGTTCTGATTTATTCTCGTCCTCGCTGTCATTTTCAACTACGTGAAGCTTAACTAATTCTAATGTCAAATCATCAAAATACCATATTAAACTCCATCTTAACAAATTAGCGATTCCTATATATATGTGCTTTCCACGCACATGAAGACGTGTATGATGTGGATCAGTTAACAAAATATTTGATGAATAGATTGAAGTATCAGATAGACCATGTTCAAAGAATAATGGTAAATCATCTCGTATAGTACGAATTGCTTTGAAAAGAGGAATGATCTTATTATCAAAAATTTGGAAAGATAAAATAAAAATAAATCAAGAGAATTACCTCTGCCAACATTAAGCGTATATTCATCTACTCCTTTAGGTTCATTTTCTTCTGATTTATTTTGATTTAATGAGGGATCGTTTTTCCCACCAGTTTCCTTTTCCGATGCTTCCAAATGAGTATGTTTAAAAGAGATTTGCTTTTCTGTATAAGGTATATAGTAATTTTCTTGAACAGTTTGATCGTCAATTGTATGCAACTGTTGTGGTATTGTTGAAAAAGTACTTAAGCTAAACAATGACCTTGAACTACTAGCATTCAAATTTAAGTGTATTTTTTTTTGTATTCTTGACTCAAAGTTAGTTTTATAAAATCGAACGTTTGGCAAGAATATTAATGCGCGTATACTTGACGCCAATAACATGGTAAATAAGTTATCTAAATATAAAAAAATAAATTTGCGCGTTTAAAATTTCGTTTCACATGCAGGAACACAGATTCCTGAAAATGGGGACAATGATATTCATTATCTTTAATTTCGCGATTATTTCTGATTATTAATTTCTTGTAACATGAACCGAAATCTTTTCATATTATCACGTGATTTTTATATCATGTGGTTTTATCATTAATTTTATATATTGGTTTTTTCTTATATTTGTATGTTTTTACTTGTAGGAATTATCTCATAGTTTTTTTCTGTGAAATAAAAATAAAAAATAATTACTTGGAAATTTTTTTTAATTATTTTTACTGAAAGCAGTAACTTTATTAAGAAATTATAATTTATATATATAAATCATTTCTAACAAAAACTATATTTTATATTATAGTATTTGACATTATAGTTATATGGATTTTTTTTTTATTTTATATCAGATATTATTCATAATTTAGTTAAACTGATGATACTATTAATATGATAATTATATTTACATTACAGTACTTAATGCTGCAGCATATACAGTACTTTACTTATTTTTTTATTTTGCAATATTTGCAGTATAGAAAAATAAAAAATAATACTAATTAAATCTTTTTTTTTCAATTATTTTTGAGAGTGCTAAGCAATTTCAATTAGAGTAACTTCTTGATTTAGGCCAATGGTTTTTTATAGTATTAAGTACTAATGGTATATTTTAATAAAGTTGTTATATGATTATTATTTAATGAAACCAAAATTAATACTTTTTGCTCTTTAGTTTTTTGCAATCCAGAGAACTTCTGTAAGCACAGTTGGTGCCTAATAGAGATCATAGTATATTATATAATTATAAAATTATATTCATGATTATGTGAATTATTATAATGTAATGTATAAAATAAATAATTTCTTTATTTTATTTCTATTAATTATAACCATCAAAATTATAATAAATTACATTATCAATAAAGGAAGTGAAAGCAATATATTGCCAGGGAATTCAAATTTGTTTGAATGGCAATGGCCAACCTCTGGATATTTGAAGGATGTACTGTATATTAACACAGTCTATACCTAATCTTGAACCTTGGGCTATCATATTTACTCCTACACAATTAGAATAATTGCAAAAGCATGAAATTGAAAACTCTAATCCAAATATATCCACGCCTACTATTTCACATTCTAATTGAGAAATTCTGTATAAAGAAAATTATTCTGATTTCTTACAAAATTCCACATTTTGTTAGTTTCGTTCCTTCACTTCCAATTTTATTAGCTTTATCCTTTTCATATTCTTTCTTTAGCATTATAGTAATTAATGTGATACTATTGCAGCAGATATCTGACCAGAACGTCTTACAAAACAAGTTCTTGTAAAAAAAAATACAATCTAGAGGAATAGTGCAAATGGAAAGAAAATAAAGGATTAGTAATTAATCTAGAGAAAGAATTAAAAAAAAGAAATAGAACGTAAAAAATCAATCAAGTGAGATTAATCGTAATAACTAATGCTTTCGAAATGTCTGATATTTGAAATACATACTGGCAAATATGAAAAGCTGGCTGGGCCTTAAAGAAGAACCAAAAATTTGGTAAAAAAGGGAGAATGACAAATCAAGTGAGAGAATTGCTAGAAGAATATTTTATGGCAGGTAATGCAGACAAATGTAATCGTTACACTGCTCAAGATATGCAATGTGGATTGGAAAAGTGTGCGCAGGAGGTGGAATCGATAAAAATGTTCCAAAAGTTACCACGATCCAAAATTAGATACCAAAAACTACTAGAGAGCATCAGGAAGAGGCAGTAACTAGAGGGTTGAATTATAATAATCAGTAAAATTAGAACTAATAATAGGATATTGCCTTAAAAGTCGTTCATTACCAAACGATTGAAAAGTTCATAAAATTGTAAAAAATGGAATAAGAATAGGGTTATTTAGTGTTTTTTGTCTTTTGTGACATAATAATTCATTTTATAACTAGCAATTAAGAAGCTCATAATAGCTTTTTTTCTAAAAATCTGTGCTTGAAAGGTTTCAGTAAAATAGTGCGTAAGATTAAATGAATTTTATTAAATGATCTACAAAATTCACCCCCATTTTTTGTCACTGAATTATTAATCTCGTGATATTGATATAATGTAAAGTTCGGCTGAAATTACATTAATTCCAGCCGGAATGAAAATTTCGTTAAATTGAAAAACTTTTTTTAAGATCATATGTACATCATACCGAACATAACGGAATAAATAGTTATTTGAACAAATCCGCCAATATGCATAATAAAAACCATTTTGATTTATATTTGTGCGAAATTTGTGGCTGATTAAATAAAACTCGTGGCTTATTAACGTAATTACATAACCTATAACTGCATTTTTAAAAAAAATAAATAGTTTAAGGCTCATTCCTTCCTATTACTTTCACAGAATTTTTCAAGTGTGACCGGCTAGTAGCGTCCACCACCTATAAAATTTACGAATATGAGAATTATATTAAATAATATATATGATAAATTACCATAAGGCGAAGTGAGGCAAAATCGATATGATTCTGAGAATCGAGGCTCACAGTTGCTGAAGTTTTTCCATGTTTTAATAGAATTCTTCTTTGATGTAAATACAAAATAAACTGGAATTATAATAAAAAAATATTTCTAATAAAATATTTCTTTGCTTTTCTTATAGAAGCATGCATTAGACATAAATATAAATGGTCAGCTTTTTTTTAGTTAAAAAAACATTTTTAATAAATATTTCTTTTTCTCTTCTTTGTATAAATACTAGAGCTCCGAATGGGTCAGGTCAGGTCAGGTTAATTGATAAACCTGACCTGAAATTTTTTTTCAGGTCAGGTCAGGTCAGGTTATATCAGGTTGTCTGTTTGACCTGACCTGACCTGAAACCTGAAAAATTTCAGGACTATTTTTATTAAAGTATTAAAAAAAAATGGTACAAAACGTTTTTTTTTTAATATAATATTATGAAAAAAATGTTTTCGCAACGTTATTATTGAAATATCAAAAAAAAAATGTTACAAAACATTTTTTTAATATAATATTATGAAAAAACGTTTTCGCAACATTTTTTCTCAAAATATTGCGATTCAACATTTTTATATTAAAATCATATAAAAAAGTGAATCCCAATACTGCAATTCACTTTTTTATATTGATTTTGTATAAAAAAAGTGAGTTGCGGTATTGCGATTCACTTTTTTATATTGATTTTATATTAAAAAAGTGAGTTGCGGTATTGCAATTCACTTTTTTTATATAGAATTAATATAAAAAAGTGAATCGCAATACCACAACTCACTTTTATTATATAGTAGAATCAATAGTTTCAGGTCAACAGGTCAATCAGGTCAGGTCAATCTTCATACCTGACCTGAATTTTTTTTAAAAATCTCATACCTGACCTGAATTTCAGGTCAGGTCAGGTCAGGTTACCTGAATTTGGCTGACCTGTTCGGAGCTCTAATAAATACTCATTTTTTTCTTTTCTTTTTTTCTTGCCTTTCCTTGTTCTGTTCATCCATATAGATTTGAATATAGTAGATATAAGGTAAATTGGGATCGAAGGAAGTTTTTTTTTAAAATTAAATTTTTCTAACAAAAATTTTTCTATCTTTTCTACAGTATCTTTTCCTTCTTTTTCGTAAAAATACTGGAATTTACAATGTGCTAAAACTGTCAAAACTATCTATACCAAAACATAATGTTTCTCTTGGTATGTAAGGCCACACAAATTCGAATTTTCGGTTCACTTCACCCGGCCGGGTCACTTTTTCAAATTTCAATAAAAAAAAGTTTATATATAAAAAATTTATCACGTGATCAGGACGTAATTTTATTGGCGGGTAAGTTTATCACGNATCTATACCAAAACATAATGTTTCTCTTGGTATGTAAGGCCACACAAATTCGAATTTTCGGTTCACTTCACCCGGCCGGGTCACTTTTTCAAATTTCAATAAAAAAAAGTTTATATATAAAAAATTTATCACGTGATCAGGACGTAATTTTATTGGCGGGTAAGTTTATCACGCGGCTAAGAACTTCTATAAATTCCTCCCTTTTAAAAGTCAACCAATCAAATGTCACGATTTTATATGTAAACTTTTTTTACTAATAAACAATAAACCCCGGGTCCCCGGGTCGATTTTAAATTTCAATGTTACGTGAACCGAAAAATGAACTTGTGTGGCCTAAGGGTAGGCTCCACGACTTGGAACTTACAAAATTTTCCAACTTGTTCGACCAATATGTAACGATCCGAGCCCAAATTATTCAAAAGTATCGTATTTTGGTAATGTTCTTTAAAGTAACGATCCTTTTCACGTTCCTGGCATTTTTATAAACTTTTATATTTTTTTGTTTTACTTTCAATGCTTTTAAATCTGTCATTTTTTGTGATGATATGTCTTAATCTTTTTGTTCTTGCACTAATTTCATTTTTATGATATATTAATTTCCATAATTGTGATAACTTCTTTCAGATCTTTATAATAAATAGTATATAATCATGTTTTGAAGTAAAAAATAATATCAAAATTTTAATAAATGTCTTTTGAATAACGGACAGGTAATTTTAAATTATTTAGCCAATCAAATCATATGATCTTAGGAACACGTTCGTTACGCAAGGTTATAAATTATAAACCCTTAATTATAAAATACAAATGTAGAGTTCCAAATTGTTATTAGAGTCCAGTGGTCAAAATTGGATGTGCTGAATGTGCGCTCCATACATCACTTTAAATTTGCGCACTATAATAAATGAGGGTTCGGATTTGCTATAAACATCAAAAAATTTAAAAAATTGATTACGCTAGAATCGGTAATCGGTTATGCACTTATGCGTAAGCCACAAACCCGCGTTAAGCCGTTAATGGTTAGTCCATTAGAACTTAGTTCCTATGACGAGTATTGGTTTATTATGAAGGATAGATTTGGAAATATTGATAATAAAATAAAATAATCATTATGTTCATATTTTTAATAAACATATGCGTCTCTTAAATTTTGGCGTGTGCATACACATAAAGCGCACATGATTTTCAATATTGCTCACATAACTAAAATAATCATGTGTGCTGGCATGCTTATAAATACGATATAAACTATTTCCAGTTTAACGCGACGCGTCCTTTTACCTTTTACATGTTATTTATTATATGAAAAATATCAATAAAAATTATACAATCGCAATTGTAGTTTATTTAAAAAACATCAGCACGATGAAAAAAGCATGATCCTATTTGGTTGTACTGTAGGATAAATTGTATTATCACTAATATGTTCATAGGAAATCTCAAAAAATGATCTATTAATTAAATGTGCACACAATTGTCATCCATCGAATGACGATTCTATACAAATATATAAAATAAGTTGTATTGTTTATATTTAAAATTAGATTCTAGTTCTAAATCACAAAGTAGCGGGATATTACGAATCAAATTTTTAGTATGACATATATATAAAAAAAAAGTATGTTCTTGTTAACAAATTGAAATTATTATTTGATATACAAGACATTTTCATAAATTTAATTTTAAATTATTATTGGATGATTCATTTTTATAATAAAAATTACAAATTACTTAAAAAATACCTATAGCACAATTAATATAATTAATATACAGGATTATGATACTTGAAGTGATGCGTAGCAAATCTTTTTGTTACTTTGATCGGATCCTAAATATATATTGTAAGTAATGTAACATTCCATAAAAAATTGGTTTTTAAGCGAATTTACCCAAAGAAGAACATTATATCCCATATCAACTCATTTTATTGAACGGGTTAAATACAAGTGTATTACGGTTTACGGCACACTTAACTTGTAATACCATAGGAAAACTGGGTTTTCCGTCAATTATTTAAATCAAAGTTTTAAATTAACTCTCAAATTCAATAAACTAATAAACTAAATAATTCGAAAAAAAAACCCCCCCGTCTCACATCCAATATTATGAATAAACGGCAATATTATTATGCAAGATGTCATCATACGGATATATCAGATCGCGTTATAGGAAATCTATTGTCACCATTTTAAGAAATGATCAGTCTAACGGTAACGATAAAAAATTACCTTTTTAAAAAAATTCCTATATTATTATTGATACATAATAATAACAGTGAAAATAATGAACAAGAAATAAAAATATTCTTGCAGAATTAAATGAAATAAAAAGAAATATTTAATCGGGTAACACCTTTTTCTCAGATTTACGATATCATGACACAATGAACGATGCACGTTAAAAAAAAATAATAAATCAACTGTGAATTTCTTTAATCTCGTCGTCATCTGCTATAACTAAAAAAAAATCCTGATTAATTAAATAACAAAAGCAAAATTCCTAATAGGTGTATAACATGTATAACAAAAAAAAAAAAAAAATATTAATATCCATACTTTGTTCTTCAGCTTTTTCTTCATCCGGAACTTCCTTCTTATTCAATTCCTTACGGCTATCTGCAAAATATTTAATTTTTTCTAAATAATGTTCATCTAAATAGTATTCCTTAAGTAAAGTTTCCAGAATTTGAACTCGTTCTTCTAAAGAATTTAAATATCCAGATTTTTTAGGTCTATCTTTAACATCTTCAACTAAAGGAATACCGCCTTTTGAAACATATACTCTTGCAAAATTTCTTCCAAAACTTCTAACACAAGGAATACTAGTTAAAATAATTGTTTGAGCTATTCCCCTTTTAATATATAATATATTAATTAATTAATAGCTTTTATTTAGATTATTAGATGTTAAAATAATATATTACCACGGTCCAAGTTTTCCCGATCCAAAAATAGAAGCAAAAAATCCTATATTATATATAAAAATAATATTAATTTACAAAATTGTTATAAGACTATTACAAAATAACGATTTACCTTCAATAGAACCATAAAAACCTCCAATATCAGATAAATAACTCTCAACTGTAAATCAAATATTTATTAGTTTTTAATGTTTTTTAACTTTTTTGAGTAGAAGTACCATACTATAATATACGTTCTACTTACAATCATAAATAACCATACTATTGTATCTAAAAGGGAAATATATATTAAATCCCAATCCAATTCTATTTGTATCTAAATTTAAAGGTAATTGTTCCGATTGTAGATCTAATTCTAAATCACAACTATTTAAGTATGAATTAGTTGATGATTTGATATGAATAAAAAAAGCTTGTCCCGGACGAAAATAAAACGCTTTTGGACTGTAGCCAATACAATTAATTTCAGTATTTAATATATTTAATGTCATATTTATAGTTAGTTTTAAATAATTATTTGGTAATATAGATGAATAGTCGCTATTGTTCAATTTAGCTTTATCGTTATAATAGGAATTTATTATGTAATCCAATTGATTATCATTAATTGTACTATTTTCAATACCATTTAAAGGAAATTCGATATCAATCCAAAAAGCACCACTCCTTAATCCTGATGCAAAATCTGGTATTTTAGTAGGGAGAGGAAATGACATGCAACGTCCGGCAGACGTAATGTTTTTTCGGACAACGCCTAAAGGAAATGGTCGAAAATAAGCTTCCATTGCATCATTAGCGCACATGGATGTTTCTATCACCATTTTAGAATCTGGTTTTTTTTTAAAAAAAAAAAAAAAATTAAGAAAAGATTAATACAAATTTTGGAGAAATTATGTTACTTCTTTTTTTTTTTTTTTACCTATAGGAACATCAAGTTGTTCTAAAACAGTTTGATGAAATATTTTGTTAAAATTATCATAAATACTAAATTTTAAAATTATACATGTAAGAATGAAGGCAACACCACATCGAAAAATTCCAAACCAAAATGGTTCTGTTTTTCGCCAACTGCAAGAGTCAATCAAAAAAAACATGGAGTATATATATAATTTTTAATCGTTGAACAAAAATCGTTTGTTATTATTCTAATGATAAAACTCTTTAGTAGGTAAAAGATTTAAGAATTAAAATCTGAAAAATTCTTGAATTTTGTCGTACATTTATGAAACAAATAATTTTCAAAAAAAAAAAAAAAAATTATTTGACGTATATTAAACTAAAATTGTCATTGTAACAATTTTATATAAATTATTATTCAAGACTAAAATATATATAATGTTTAGTTTCAAAGTAAGAGTCATTCAAAAGAGCCTTTTTGAGAATTATACATGCAATTAACGTCACATACTGCAGTTACTGCACGCCTAAATTTGTAAAGGTTATTCGCAAATTCAATGTGAGAATTGGGACATAATAATCGAAGTGAAAATCAGCTTTTTTATTGAAAAAAATTTATCGGGTAAATTAAAAAATACAGTGAAATTGGGTGCATTGCGCCTATCTGTGCAGTACCGCAGTAGACCATTTTTTTTTTAAATTATTTAATTCTCCAATTCTTGAAAGAAATAACTCCCAATTTCAACGAACTAAATAAAAAATGGGTGATAATAATGATAAGAATATTATAAAGAATAAGAAACGCTTCACATTAAATACCCTATTTTTAGGAACACTTTTTACTAACACAATATTTGACATTATAATCATAATTATTTTACCTTTTGGGATGAACCTTTTAATTTTATTAACCATCGTTACTTTTTTATGGGGATTCTTTGCGGTAAATCATTCTTTATTAAAATTTCATCATTTTGTCTAAAATTAATAAATGTATTTTTTATTTTTTTTTTATTGAATATAGATCGTTAGGAAAAGAATACGTTATTTTATAGGATTTTGTGTAATAAACTTGGCCCCTATTTTAATTTTAATTAATGCTACTTTTAATTCAGATGATGATAATATTAAATATATATTGATTAAGAATAGTAAAAATGTTAAATTGAATAATGATCAAAAAAAGTTTATTCTTGTTGCTAGTATATTAAAAATAATTATCGAAGTAATATTTATTATTATTGCTATCATTATATGCAATGTTAATTATGAAAAATCTGGAGAAACTGAAAAATCTGAAGGAACTAAGGGTAAGATTTTGTTGATTTTGTTATGATTTATTTATTTATAATATTTTAACATTAAATTTTATTTAATATTTAGATACTAACTCAAAGAAATTAAATATTATACAAAAATGTAATTATATAAGATTTTATTTTCAATTTTCAATATAAATATGTTTAATATTTTAATATTAAATTTTATTTAATATTTAGTTCTTGAGGGATCCCCAGGAAATATTTACATTGCATACAAACTTTTTAATTTCTCTTTATATTTATCGTTATATTTTATTCTCATAATGAATGGAATATTATCATTATACGGTTTTGAATTTATTCCTACTAAAGATATAGGACATCTAGTTTTATTTACAATTTGTCTTTTTATTCCTTCTTTTTTTATATTATATCTCTCAGTAAGTAATTTTACCAGAATAAGTGAACAATATATTAAAATCAATTTATTAACTTTATTAATATATTCTAGAATAAAACAATCAAAAAAAAAAATCAAAAAGTAAGAATCTTTAAATATAAATATCTTTTAATTGTTGATATTTCCCTTGGTTTTCAAATTGCATTTTGCATAGCATTATTATTATATATTGGTTTAAAATATAAAAATTATCGTAATTATTGTAATATTATAACAATACGTAAGTATTTTTTTTATATAATACTCGTTGGAGATTTTTTATATCAAATACTAAATTTTTTGATTTTTTTTTTTTTAAAAAAAATACATAAGCAATTATAACAATGATTTCATCATTATTAACAATTATAACATCAATATTATTTTATCGTAAGTCTAAAAATAAAGATTTTATTGATGAATTTTTTATACTTTATTGTAAGTATTATTATTTTTATTATTTTTTTTTTGAATTTCAATCGAGTTTTCACAAATTTATACATTTGTATATTTATTTTCAGTGAAGCAAGAATATAAATTGCATTCAGATAATGAATATGATCATCAAGATGATGATGATGATGATGATGATGTACACGAAAACATTTTAACCGAAATAATACACATAATAGACAAAATACTCATAAAACTTGGAAAATCATTATCGTGATTTTCTGTGAAATTCATCATTAGTGTTATTCAATAAATATTAAATAAGATTATATATTGTATGTATAGAATATGAGATCTTTATTGAATAATTTTTCTTTTAATATGAATTTATATGAATTTTTGATGTTAGAAATATTTTTTAAGTAATTTTTTTTTTAAAAAAAAATTTCAAAGTATATTATCTATCACATACTATAATTAAAAATATTTATATGTAAAAAGTTTAAAAAATTTCATATATAATTTATTACAATATTTCATACTGTTAGTTATTATATAAGAGTATTTGATTCACGCTAGGGCTAAGAGATATATAAAATAAATTGTTAATGAAAATAATTGTTAAATGAATAAAATGATATATATAATGAAAAAGTCTTCTTACTTAAGAATATTGAAGATTTTGAACACCAGTACCGCTACTATTAGCATTTGCGGCAGCAGTATCAACATCATTCTTGAAATTCGCAAAATTTTTAGAAACTTTTTGATTGTATTGATTGGTTTGAATACTAAAAGTACGTAGTGCTCAAACTTTAGAATAAAAGCTTACTTAAATTTTATAAAAGATTTCATAATATAATACTTACTTAGTAAGGAAGGCCAAATTTGGAAAAAAGGCTATAAGTGTAAAATTATAGCGTAAAAAAAAAAAAATAGTTAAATAAATAAAAAAATAAAAAAAATAATGTCACAGAGGTTATGAAGTGCCAATTATTGTATGTCTGTACATTTTAAACATTGTTCACTTACGAGATTGACTAGGAGGTTTAACGGAACGAGGAAGTTTTTTATGGGGTCTATGGAAGATTTTACCAAGTAGAATTTCGATTTTCTTGGTTTTGCCTCCTTTATCCTCGGGTCCTCCTTTATCCTCGGTTTCGCCTCCTTTATTCTTGGGTTTTCTTTTTGTACTCTTGGTGGGTTTGATTTTTTTATTATCGGTGGGTATGTTCCTGGATTCGATTTCTTCTGATTTTTCTGATTCTGTCATTCTAAATATTTAGTGCTCAAACTTTAGAATAAGGGTTATTTATTTAAAAATTTTAAAAAGTTCTTCATTACTGAATAAAGCTTCTTTATTTTTTTTTTTTTTTGACATAAATAAACTACTAAATGTGTAAAATAATTATATCACGGAGGTGATTAAGATTTTTCAAAGTTTTGGTAAAAATCAATGAATCCTGCAAGTAATTTTATATGCACGCCAAATATTGTTACAAGTTTTAAATGCAAGAAAATTTTTTTTATTGTTTACCGCATTTTTTCAATTTTAAACGCGTTTGGTCTATGTCAAACACTATAAATCTATCATCATGTGAATATGGAATTTCATACGCTCAGCGCGCTGCGCCATCTGCGCAAATCTTTGATTCTATTATACAGATTTAGTATATTTTGCTGCATGTATTTTTATGTGGGGTTTTTTTTTTTTTTTTTTAAACCTACAATTTTGGCATAATTGATTACTGAATTTCACGGATAATCAAATCATTCGAAATTACTCGATTCAATTTTTTTTTTTTTTCGATAAAAAATAAATTATTATGTGAACCGATAAAGAAATCCCTAGTATATTTTAGTAAATTGACTATCCATAAATAAAAATTTCTATAAAGTTTGAAAATCCAAATTTTATTTCACGTCATTTTTATATGCACTCATATTTCACAATTTCATAATGTATTAAAAAAGTCCTCATTATACATTAAATGATATATGAACCGATCGAAAATTATTATATTCATTATCAATTAAATAATATATATATAATTGGTATCAATTTTTCCTTTAAGATTTTTATTTTGAAAAAATTCATATCAAGTTCTTTTACTTTTTAATACAATGCGAGACTTTTTATTTACAAAATGTTCACTACATTATTTCTTGCCTTTTTTCCTTGTTATTACATCTATACCATCAACGTTTGCCCTTAAAGAAGATTTATTTGGACCCCCATTTGACAATAACCCTTACTTTCTATCAATCTATCAAACTGTCGCAAGTATTTTAATCCCTATTATTATCAGGGAGACCTTTCATAGGAAGTTGTATTTCTTTTCACCCCTTTTTTTTATATACTTTTTATTGTTTTTCGTTGATCTAGAAATGACGCGTCAATTCACTCGTTTGTGTTTTAACCATTACAATGACCCTTTTTTCTGGGATTATTTTTATTATTTATTACCCCTATTCATATTCAATTTTCTTGAAGTTGCATCCATAAAATATTATTTTTGCAAATACTTTAATATTTTATCGATTCTTTACGGGTTTATAGTTAATTTGATATTTTTGGATAAAGCTATGGATATTTATGTTGAGAGTCAATTTGGTCTCATTGTAAGAAAATTACTTGTGGGCTTATTCGTATTTATTTTGATCTTAAATATTACGTCCAATTTATGTGTAATACCATTACCAAAAAATACTAAAGAAAACCGCAAATGGCCACGAATATTATTCATTATACCTGCCTTTTTGATAAATATGGGTTTACAACCAACCATCTATTTACTATATTTGTATGAAGAAATTAAGGGTGATGATAAGAAGGGTGATGATGATGATAAGAATGATCATGACAATTGTCCGCTTTGCTTGAGTCATAATTATGTACATGCTAATCTAGATACTTTTGGAATCAAGAAGAAGGATAAAGATTGTCCGGTTTGTAAAAGACCACATAATGATGATGAAAAAGAATGTTGTCTGGTTTGCAAAAAAAAACATGAAGATGGTGAAAATTGTTGTCGTATTTGCAAAACAAAACATAAAGATGAAAAAGTTTGTTGTTTGGTTTGCAAAAAACAACATAAAGATGGTGTAAAAAAATGTTGTCCGGTTTGTCCAGTTTGCAAAAAACAACATAAAGATAAAAAATTTTGTTGTTTGGTTTGCAGAAGAAAATATGAAATTGATAAAAAAGATCATTGTTGTCCGGTTTGCGAAAAACACCATAAAAATGATGAAAAAGATTGTTGTCCGGTTTGCGAAGAACAACATGAAGATAATGAAAAAGATTGTTGTCTGGTTTGTGAAGAACAACATGAAGATGGTGGAAAATGTTGTCGGAATTGCAAAAAACAACATAAAGATGGTGAAAGAGTTTGTTGTCCGGTTTGCAAAAAACAACATGAAGATGGTGAAAAAGATTGTTGTCCGTTTTGCAGAAGAAAACGTAAAAATGATAAAAAAGATCGTTGTTGTCAGATTTGCAAAAAACACCATAAAATTGGTAAAAAAGATTGTTGTCCGGTTTGCGAAAAACAACATAAAATTGGTAAAAAAGATTGTTGTCCGGTTTGCAAAGAACAACATGAAGATAATGAAAAAGATTGTTGTCCGGTTTGCGAAGAACAACATAATGATGTTAAAAGAGTTTGTTGTCCGGTTTGCGAAGAACAACATGTTGAAAAAGTTTGTTGTCCGATTTGCAAAAAACAACATAAAGATGTTGAGAAAGATTGTTGTCCGTTTTGCAAAAAACAACATGAAGATGTTGAAAAAAATTGTTGTCCGGTTTGTCCGGTTTGCAAAAAAAAACATGAAACTGATAGTAGAAGAAATTGTTGTCGGGTTTGCAAAAAACAACATGAAGATGGTGAAAAAGATTGTTGTTGGGTTTGCAAAATACAACATAAAGATAATGAAGAAGATTGTCGTTGTCCAGTTTGCAAAAAACAACATAAAATTTATGAAAAAGATTGTTGTCTGGTTTGCAAAAAAAAACATTTTGATGAAGATTGTTGCCCGGTTTGCATAGGTCATCATTTTATACATTATCAGAAATTTAGGGCTGAGAAGAAGAATGAGGAGATTGAGAGGAGTAATGAATCTATCATAAAAAAGATCATAAGTTATTCACGTACCCTCATATTTAATGAGAAGAGTAGAAAGAAAGATGATGAGCATTATAAGGAAATAATTTATTTGAAGATCAATGGAATTGTTAGTTACCTTTATTATTTACTTAACTTCTTATATACCGTCATTTTCGCAATGATATCTGGTCCTTCTACATGGTGGGTTCAACTTTACTTGATTGTAAAATCTACCGAGTATTCTGTATATCAAAATTCTGGTCCGGATTCTACGTATTCCATATTTAAAAATTTTATATACGATATTTACGATATTGTTACCAATTTTGTATACGAGGTTACCCATATTGGTGATGATGAAGAACTTGGTAAAGAAGATCCCAATTTTAGCGCCTCCTTCCCTGATAAAGTTCCCAATGTTACCGCATCAAATAATAATGATGACATTGAAGAATTGAAAGAAGTGAAAATTCAGAATGTACAATGATCTATATTTTTTTAAAAAAGAAGTGCAAAGATAAACAATTATTCAAAAGGTTAAAAAGTTTCTATTATTATTGACAATACATCCACTTATCGTAAAAATGAGCAATACGAATTGTATTAGTTGGAGGACATCTTGCTTGTTGTGTCACCTTGTATTTTACCCATAATGTATATACGACGGTTCGAAGTGATTTTTCTTTTTGTAAATTTAAATATTTTTCTCTTTATCAATGTATTTTCATATCATATAAGCATATATTTTTGATAAAAAAAAAATAGAAGATACAATGAACGAAATAAATAAATTACAAAGATTTTTTTTATTTCAAAATTCAAAAAGCAAAATTGATTTATTTTATTTTAATGATAACTCGGTAAAAATATTAATCTATGTAAATCATTGATTATCAATTTAATACGGTTTTGTATTTTGGCCAAGAAATTTCTTTTGACTATTACGACTTTTGTTATTTTCATTTTGGTTTCATGTATAGCATACAGTAACATGTCATAAAAGTAATAGGTCAATGAATTCAAATTCATATAAGTATGAAACAAAGTTCTTTATTTAACTGTCATCAATAAGCCGTTGGCAAAGACAATGTATCAAATGGTGGTAATTCATCTTTTTAGTAAAGATATAAGATATTAAGAGGCCCAAATCTGTTGCTGACAAAAATATAAAAAATTGCAAATTTTGAAGAAATGATTTTTTGAACTTATAAGTGTCCTTTATCATCAAAAAAAAAAATCCTTGAAAATTCGCCGGAAGATATTAATTGGTATATGAAGTGAATTTATTTTGTTATAGATTTTAATATTTATTACTTATCTATATAGCAGCTAAAGATTTCAGATGATATAAAATAAATAAATTTATCTCAAATTTATATTAGTGATACTGCTGATTTCTTGCGGACCAGCACTTATCGTCAAATATATTATTATTATAAAAGTTATTATAATAATTAATAAAATTTCAAATTGGCTTATTAAAAAAAAGAGAAATAATAATATTAAAATGTTAAAACTAATAACTATTTTTTTACACTTTTAAACTTCAATCTTCATTATCTGAATTTTCATCATCGTCTTGTTCATTATTAACAGCCTGATCATAATATTTTTGTCTTTCGCCATGTTTTACTATTGAACTTTCGGGTATAATTCCTTCACAATTTAAGTAACCATAATCTCGCTCTGTATGTTGATCAACAGCATTGAGCCAGTTTTGGAAGCTGTCAATACGAAAGAATAAATATTTCAGTATGGATAATTTAATTTATCACCCATCACTTAACCAGAAATTTAAATTAAAAATTACGTGTTTTCAGCGATTTCTTCCTCAAAAATCTTGGAATAAATAAAATTATCTTTAAATTTTTCAATTTGATCCTAATTAATGTATTTAATAAAGAATAATTTTAATAATTATAATCCTATTATAGGTAAAATAGTAAATATATAAATATCGATCGCCATTACCTGATAAATGTCGTAATCAATCACGTCTTTTCCCTGATCTCTGGCTTTTCTATTATAAGAATCAAACACAGGCTAAAGAGGATTCAAAAACATTAGTATAAACAAATGGAATATTCGTTTTTAAAATTAAAATACAATTACCCGTTCAAGTAATAAACCTAACGCTGGAGCTTTTGGTATATTTATCTTGACTTGTGTAAATGTTTTTGCAATAAGGGAAATAGGTGTTCCCGTTCTTACAATCATTACTATTAATGCTTATATTTATAACAAATTAAATAATTAATAAAAAGTTAATATGATGCATTTCATAATAAATTAGTAAAAATACTCACAAACCATTTTACGAATTTGATGCAACATAAATGATTGTCCGTGTATTTTTATGGTAATCCATTCAACATCATTAATAATTTTAGGATCACTTACCTAAGAATCATGAAAAATTGTTATTTATTACATTCTATTACTTGAATATATAAAATCGCGCAAATAGCGCTTACTTGAGAATCGACAATATATCGGTTACAACTTTTCTCTTGAGGACTGCGACCAATTGTATAGTTGTGATAATTATGTGTTCCTCGATATTCCTGAAATCCTTGCCTTACGTGTTCAATAGTTTCTTGTGATATACGATATTTTCGTTTCTCAATCATTTCTTCGGACGTGGCGGTGGGCACATCCACGAATACTTTTTGAGTTGCGGTATCACTTTGGATCGAGTTTGACAATACTAAATTAAATTCTTTCTCAGGGAGTATGAACACATAAGTTGGTAATAGATATTCATATACTCGAGAATCACACAATGTTTTCGCGTGAAAAGAACGAATTACTTTAACAAAACCTATCAATTAAATAATTTTAATTAAATATTATTATATGATTCCTAAAATTTACAAAATTTAAATAATTACCCCACATGCGAATTTGATCGGGGAGATTTTCATTAATCTTTTCAACTACATTAGGAATATCGGTAATCATGTAAAAACGTCGAATTAAAAATAACAAATTAGATTAAATTTATTAAATTTAAAACAATATAATGCAAATTAGTTAGACAAGAGACTTATCTTGAGTGAAATTAAATTTCCAGCCGCATGAACACCTTTATCGGTTCTGGCAGCACGCATCAGACCAACCTGTTACCGCATTAACACTTAACTTTAAATGCATAATATTTTAAAAAATAGAATTATCTATTACTTACTTTTTTGGGATCATCCGAATTATCTTTGGATACAGCACCAGCAGCAACAAAAGCCTTGAATAAATCTTCTTCAATAGTTTTTGCGTTGCGATTACTACAAGATTTTAGTTGCATGAAACGAAATAAGAATCACGAATATATTAACTATCATTCAACATACATTTGCATTCCTTGATAACCAGTCCCGCAAAAACCAACCAAGACAGCAACTTTCTTTTTTGGTTTTCTCGGTTCTTTTGATTCATTCGAATCGCCTTTGTCCTCGATTTTGATTCTCTCATTATTCCGATCCTGTTGCCTATTAATATCATCCCGATTGCCTTTTCTATTCCTAAAGTTCTTGTTAAGGTGTTCTCTTCTATCCTTTGCTGTGGTGAAACGTTTCCTTGAAGACTGTGAATCTTCCATAGCACGTTTTTTTGAATGAGACGCTTCTTTCTCTGTTGATTCAGATGGAACTATAATTTTTTCTGCTTCGATAGTTGTTTCAACTTCTATAAAATCATTATTTGATTATTAAATAATAATATTAATCAGAATAACAAATTAGATTTCTCGCTACCATTAGTTGACTCTATTTTTATTTTCTTGAGAGTTGTCATATTTGGTAAGTATTTAAATTTAAAAAAGTTACTTTTATAAAGTCTGACAATATTGTTGAGAGCAATCTTTTGAGATAGAATTTTAAAATTTAAAAATTTAAAATATTTCATTGATAATCATGTATTTTCACGTTTGCGTTACATTCATGAAGATGCATACAGTAATCTGTAACACCCAATAATATATAAATATCAGATTAATCAAAAAATTTTTTTTTTTAATATACTTTAATATACAAAAAAAATGAATTTAGATAAACATTCAGATCCTACTCCTAATACGGAACCTTCAGCTTCAACTAATATCAAAAAACTTTCTATAACGCGCAGAGTATCAGGTAACAAACAAATATTTGAACTTAATTTTCATTAATATAAATTATAAGTATTTTTTAAATTATAATATAACTTATAGGTAAAACATGGAAACATCCAAAAACGGCTACTCGTCGTTCACAATTACCACGCAGCTTGCGTAAAAATTGGAATGAAAAACTAAAAGAACGAAACGAAAGAGAAGCTTTAAAGATGTTAGAAAAAGAAATGAAGGAAGAAAGAGAAGCAGAAAAAAAGGTATTAAATTAATTAGGTTTTTTAATTGAAATATATATATGTAGTTTATAAAGTTAAATTTGGTTTCAACTTTATATTAGAGAAAGCTTGAAATTGCTTTGAAAAGAAAACAAAGATTGGAAGAGAAAGAAAGACAAGAAAAATTAATTACTATTGTAAGTTCAAAATTTATTTTAACAACTAATTATATAATTAACTTGTACTAATTTTATTTTATTGTTATTACTTAATAGTATTCAGCAAAAAAATTAAAGAGACTTCAAAAAAGGAAAGAAAGAAACAAGAAGTGAAATTGAAAATTAACGCGTATATATTTAATCACGTGATCAATAGCATACATATGTATTTATTTTAGCCAATGAAATTTGAAGATTATCTTCATTATCTTCATGTGATTATTTAATAAATTGGACATTTTCTAAATGATTTGTTCAAACACCGTCTTCCTCAAAGGAATTTGTTAACTAAAGGTGTATTGGGCAAAAGACCGCATTTAAGAGTACTGAAACTGAAGATCTTAGTAATCTTTATAAAATGCCTCGTAACAGACATAAGGATAAATTTTCGTTAAATGCTAAGTCCGCCCCAAAGGAATTATTAGGCAAAAGGTCACATTCCGAGAGCACCGAAAGTGATCTTTTTAGTCCCAATAAAATGCACCCTCGTAACAAATATAAGGATAATCCTCCAGACTTTTCTGTTCTTGCATTTAAATATCCGTCCTTTTATCCTTTGTAAGTAATTTATTAAATTTTAATACTAATTTTTCAATAGTCTATAAAATTTATCGCGACTATTTATAGTGTGAATTATTCCAAAGAGGGTAAACCTTATATCGATTATAAAAACCCAGAGGCAGCTCGGTAAGAAAATGGGTTGATATATTATTAATTTATTTTAACAATTAATTTTAATAGAAATTTTTTGTTAGTGAGCTTACATACTGTCTGTTACGTGAAGACTTTAATCTATTTCTAGACATTCCCCTAGATACTTTATGTCCTCCGGTAATTAATTTCGATTACAGTTAATGTCGAATTTACTTGTCATTTATTAACTTGTAATATTTAAAAGATTCCAAGCAGGTACATATTTTAATCCTTGGTTTTCACTGGATCGGAATTTCGGATATCTCAAAAATATATTTGTTTAAATTAAAGACTGAATTATATCCACTGGATAGAGGATTTGATATCATCGACAGAATCTCACGAAGAATTGGGTAAAAATACTGTACATGGAATCGATATGTAAGTGTCAAATGAACATTGGTTTGTATTTCTTGAATAATGAGCTAATATATTCGTGTTGATTTCTAGTGGTACTGGAGCTTCTTGTATTTATCCATTGCTAGGATGTACATTAAATAAGAATTGGGTATTTTTAGCTACCGGTAAATGCTTAAAGATTCAGCATCTACCTGTATGCATATTGCCTTAACATTTTTATTACGTGAACTAGATATCGATAAAAAGGCTGTTAAGTATGCGAAAGACAATGTGCATCGAAATAACTTGGATGATAAAATTACAGTGCGTCGCAATAAAACAGACAAGAAAATCCTTCTAAACGAAAACATGATAAAGGATACAACTATCAAGTAAATATCCTGTATATGATTATTACTTGTTATTTTATTCTTACATTTTTTTTTATATTTGGATTTAGATTTTCATTTTGTATGTGTAATCCACCATTTTACGAGAATCAAGAGCAATACGAAAAAGGAGTTGAGAGCAAAATAACCAGCTCTCATTCGGTATTAATAAGTTTTCCTTTTGTTATAAAATCACTTGAAAAAATATAATAATTAATAGGAAGGTATTATTGTTAGGTATGCACCGGATCATCTAATGAAATGTTTACACCGGGTGGCGAGTTTCAATTTATTAAGGATATTCTAGAGGAAAGTTTGATCTTACGAACAAAAATTCGGTACGTAATATTAATTCACGAAAGTAACAATTAGATGCTTTTTTTAAGAGATGCTTAATTGATATTTTGGATAATACTTTAAATTTAGTTGGTATACATCAAAAATTGGACGATTAGAAACGGTTAACAAAATAGTCTGTGAATTGAAAAAATCAGGAGTATATATCATTTATTTCTCTATTAATTTAATTAAAACTGAAGATTTTAATATGTTTTTTTTTTCTTTATATATTAAGATAGATAACTACGTAGTAACTGAATTTTGTCAAGGACTTACACGAAGATGGGGAATAGGGTGGTCATTTGGAAGTCAACGTCCAACTTTTGTATATATTTCGAATTTTTCATTTTATTAAACAATTAAACAACGATCTGAGAAATAATTTCTAATTTTTTTTTTTTTTCTTAAGAGTGGCTCGCAACCTGTTTCCAAGAAACTTAGAAGGTCGGCGCCACCAAAAAGCGAATTTAGTGTTGTTCTACCGACAAACGTGGGAGAAATTTTTAAGTTTTTGCGAAATCTCTTCGATGAATTGGAGGTTACTGGACAATGGAACGAAGAATCTAATACATTTTATGGTAGTGCACAAATCAATACTTGGTCACGTGCTGCAAGAAGAGCTAAAGCTAAAACGGAAGCACAAAAAACTCCTATAACTCAGAAAGCAGGGGATGAAAATTTATTCGAATTTACGTGCAATCTGGAACCGGAACCTTTGGATGTGAGTATTAGTAACACAAGAGTAATAATTTCATGGACAAATGGAAAAGACAGGAATATATTCGAATCTTTTTATCTTCATATTAAAAAACGGTTAGAGCAAGAATTTAATGATAAAACAGCTTCTTTATAAATTAAATGATACATATATATTTTTGGAAATTTGTAATTTATGAATTTATGTATGCGGCCTTTATCATTCTATCTTTTTATCGATAATAAATTCGTATGTCATTAGTTTCATAATTATTAGATAATATATATCTTTATGTTTGACAGATTAGACTATTAATTATTCTCATTTATCATACATCTTGGCTAAACTACTAAAATATTAAACAATTAAAAATTATCAAATTGTTTACTTAATTTACTTAATAAAGTTATTTAAATACTTAATCAAGCAATTTACAATGTTTTAATCATTATTCATTAGCCGTTTGTTATTTTGTTTCAAAACCGAGATTCTTTATGATTTTTTAGTCTTGGCAGGCACCTCCGTTTTGTGGGCGCGGTTTGTGTCGATCTTCGCCATATAAGGAACAAGTGACATTTAAGTATCACATGATCACGTGCAGCCACGAGTTCAAAAACATTAAGTATCTGAGGGACTTGTTTTTTTTTAGTGTCAAAAATTTATTTGTCACCCCCGTGATACAAAAAAACCGCGCCCACAAAACGGGGGTGCTCTTGGCAGAGGTTATGACGACAGGACGGTATCACAATGATCACAATGGTAAGTAAACGTCAGAATTAGGTAATAATGTAGATAAAATATATATTTTTAATATATATATATATATATATATATATATATGCTTCACGACTTTTTTGAGATTATTTATTATTTTGCAAATATTTATTATAAAACAAAAGAGAAAATGATAAAAAAAGAAACAATTATAATAATAATTTTTTCGATTAGTTTAACTTGGATTCTAACAATATTTTTCACTGTTCAATTACCTTCACAAAGTAAAATACAAGATAATTATATATTTAATGAATCATATTCTAATGAAACATATTTTTGTGAATTTTCAAAATGTAAATTCTTATTTCCATATAAAATATCGGAACAAGAATCAAAAGCTCAAAAACATATGATTCAATATGCTCAAATGGCACAAAAACTTGATCGTATATTGATTTTACCAAATGTTGGTAAATCAAGAATTGGATCATGTTTAGAATATCCATTTAATTATTATTATTTAATAGAATCCCTTCAAAGAAATTTTCCTAATTTAAAATTGATGACACAAAAACAATTTTATAAATGGATAAAATCACAAAAAAATAAAAAACCTTCTTATCAACATATAATTATTCAAGAAAATCGTAATAGAAAATTTCATGATTTTATTAAAGATCAATCAAATAATAATAATATAACAAAAAAAGGTTTATGTTTTGATGAAATTGATGAAATGGATTTTGATAATAATAATAATTATAATTATAATTATAATTTAACTATAGGTGGACGTTATTGGAAAAATGATCAAAGTTTAGAAAATTTATCAAATTTTATTATTAATAATTTAAAATTATTTAATAATACTGAAATTTTATTAATGGAACAAAATTTCATTTATCCATTATTTCCAAATCATATACCTCATTTAGAATATTCTCCTCATATAATTAATAAAGCTATTAAAATATCTCAACATATAAAACCATATATAGCAATTCAATGGAGAATGGAATTAGGAAATCCTTTAAATATGCCAAAATGTGCAGAAAAATTAATTTCACGTTTAGAAGATTTAAAAAAAGTTTATAATACCAAAAATATTTATTTTGCTACCGATTATCCTTTAAAAGATTCTTTACGACAATCCTTTTCATTTCATGATATTAAACAAGAATATCATGGGAAAGCTATTGATATTTTAAGAGATAATGTTAATTTCTTTAGTTGGTTCAATTTTACTCCAACTGATCAATTCGGGAATAATATGAATATTAAAGAATTCGCTCTTAGTGGTATACCTGGTATTTTAGATAAAATTGTATGTACTAGAGCAAAAATATTTTTAATTGCTCCTCCAGAATGTAGAAAAAAGACGAGTTCTTATACTTCAATGATTAATTCTGAAAGATTTGATTTAATGAAAGCAAATGTTGAAGGAATTGAAAATATAAGCTTAGAATGGTGAATTATCCGGTATTAGGTATTTTATGGTTAAAATGTGCATCAGCATCCTATGTATAGTAAGTAATAATTATCGCATTATACATTATATCATTCATTATATATTAGATTATCTATTTGATTATTTGTTTGTCAATTATATAAATAAGTTCCATCATTTGATTACATAAAAAATAAAAATTACATCATTAAAAATCATTAAAACCGTTAGTGAATTAAATGTATATATCATATACCGTATACTTCCGAAATTAAGCACCCTTTTTTGACCGTAATGCTGGCCAGCAACAGCATAACGTAGGCCAAATTTTCATAATTCTGGCCAGGGGTGCTTATTTTCGTGGGGTGAGGTGCTTAATATCGGAAGTATACGGTATTTGTATTATGTTCTACTATATATATATATTATATCATTCTTTTAACCAAGTTTAATTAAACTAAGCAATTCAACTTGTCTATAATGAGAAATCGATATTTTTAGTGGTCAGCAATGTAATTTTTAGGGTGTAACTTAAACATCCTCGATTAATGACTGGATGTTGTTTCGCTGTTTTTCTTTGAGCCAGAAATTGCTTTTTTTTTTGTAGGTGTCTTTTTTAGTGATTGTTTTACAGCGGAGTTAGATGCATTGTGGTTATTTTCAGTTCGTTCCAAAGTAGTTCGAAACAATCGCTCATTTTGTCGAAACAATTACTCATTTAGGAGATCATTTTTCTTTATTGACAATTAAATTTATTGAATATATATATATATATATATATATATACCCATTTCCTAAACATAATGTCTTATAATTCAGGCTAGACTTGTGAACCGTACAAATTCGTTATATATTTTACATTGAAATTGTATAAATAATTTTGGCCAGAATTATGAGATCAATGAAATAATTTTTTAATTATAACCAATTTCAAGTTACTACTTATTAGAGGAAAGTTATTCGACTCATCTGTAATTAACAAATTTCAAAATTGTTAAATTGCTTTCAAACTACTTATCCTACTTATCCCTAAATTTAGGCCATGAAAACACATACTATGGTGTTAAGTACCAGTGGTGGCGAAGTCATTAATAAACAAACATTATCTGTTATAGAACTTTATAATTATCATAAAATATTAAATATTGGCATAACCCGATCACAAATTCAATAAATGCATTACTATCAAAATTTGTATTTCTTATTTATTTATATTGCAAATTAATGTATTTTTTTTGCGCATACATAATAACTACTACTGTTAAGTAAATTTATAAAAGAAAAAAGGTATATAAAAAAATTTTATAGTTTCAGCCATTATTTGCAACCAGCAACCCAAACAAAAAGTATTACGATTGAATTTCATCCATAATTTAATTATGAATTCCGATAGCACTTTCATTTGTCGAAGCACCTTTACCACGCGACTCATTTGTAGTATCTAAAAATAGTCAAACGATTAAAAACAGATTATATTAATAAAGAATATATAAATACAAAAAAATATTAAAATGATATTGACAAACTTACTATATTCTTTAGAACCTTTACGATGATTTTGAATAATACCATGTTCGAGAATATAGTTTATAACTTCCGTATCTTTCGATGTGTTGAAAATATTTTCAAGTGACTGTTTTGAGGCACGACCAGCCATACCTTCGCTACCATTTGGTGATTCAAATACATCAAACGCTATTATTATATTAATAATGATACGCGTTAAAGAATTCATGCATTTTATGAATATAACAAGGTCTAAAGAAACAGAAAAAAAATGTAATCAAAACAAACTTTGAATCACATCAGTAAGTGGAATTGATTTATCTTTTCGCCATTTCGTAACCTAAGAATTAAAAAGATATGTTCAAACCTTGAAAAAAAGAAAAAAATTATTTATTTTTTTTAATTGTACCTCATCAGGATATGCAAAAACGAAATATTCTTCACGAGTATTTTTTGGTCTGTAAATAACACGAGCTTCATCTGACATCTTTGATATGATTTTCTTGAAAAAAAAAGTAAGTTTTAAATTTTTATTTGAGAAAAAGTCTTAAGAATTTGTGGGAAAAAACGATGATTGATGTATTTAATTGATGAAATTTAACGAGTTTTTATACACATTTTTTAATGATACATGATATCATAATTATAAATATAATTATGTCATTATTATCATAAGGTAGACGATCAAATCTAAATCAGGATAACATTGAAAAACAAACACAGCACATGACTTAAATACAAACAATGGCGCAGTGCTAATTTCTAATTTTAATCATATACTATTGTATCATCTAACTCCATTACATAATCTTCGATATTAATATCATTTCCTCTCAGCTGCGAAAAGTCTTCAATACCTTGCATGCCATTAGTTCCATTAACTCCATTAACTCCATTTACTCTTACAGAAGGTCCTTTGGGAACTTCTTTCCTAACACCATCCAATTGTCTTATTCCCTCAAGAGACATTACGAAAGTGGGTCTTATTTTGTGAACTTCACTTGTAGTGAGATTTTTCATCTAAAGATTAAAATGTTAATAAGTTTATTTGAACAATATTTTAAATAAATAAATTTCAATGATAATAAATTTACCTTAAGACCATTAACATCTAATTCATTTAATTGTTTTTCAATTTTATTTTCTCTTACTTCTTTAAGTTTTTGTAAGAGATACCGTACTCTAGCTGGATTTTCTATATCATCTTCTGCCCTAAATTATCATTTCAATTAACTTTTTATATTTAAATATTTAAATTCGATTCATAAATTACTTACTTTTCCAATAAAATTTTTGAAAATTCAATAAAATATTTTGGAAATTTACTGAGTGGTTTATTTCCGTAATCGTCCATAGAATTCTCAAGTTCTAACCGATGTTCGAGAAATTCTTATATCAAAATAAGAAGATATTTCACATAAAAATATGTAAATATCATAATTGAGTTATCAAAATAACAAAACTCACCGGTTGTCAAGCATTCCGGAGAAAATATTTTACATTGTTTTTCTCCTTTCAGTGCTAAAGCTGCCCAAAGCGGTATTTCAAGTTTTTTGGGTGGTTCAAAAGGACCAAAAGATCTCTTCAAATTGTTTATATTTTAATATTTAATCGATATAATAACTAATTAAAATAAATAAAAAAATAGAGTAGAAAATGCTTACACCAGAAAGTATCAAAGTCTCTTCCTTGAAGAAAGGCTCTACAGTAACAAGCTCATCTTCAGCAAAGAATCTAAGATCTTCAGTATTTATGGGCATTATGAAAAATTATTTGTAATTATTATATATCGTTATATAACGCGACGCGATGAATCATGATGATCAAAGCCACAGGTCAAAAAACCTGATTGACCGTTACACAGTACCGTACCTTTTTTTTTAGCAAGAAACCATGTCGAAAGGAATTCGATTTATTGGTATAAAATATTAATTTATATATTTCCAAAGAATAATTATATATGTCACTATATAATTAATTGAGCAATGTTATTTTTTTTATAAAGAAATTGGTGCCAATTTGACGGATCCTATTTTTAATGGAGTTTATCGTGGTGTTCAAGCTCATACTGGTAAATATATTTATTGATAATTAGGTTTTATCAAATTAATTTTTAATAGAATCCGGTAAAAAATTTGGTAAATTTAGGTGATTTTAAGGAAATGCTACAACGAACTAGAAATGCTGGTGTAGAAAAAATCATAGTAACTGCTGGAACAGTAAAGGAGGCTGAAGAGGCCATTAAATTAGTTAATACTTATGGTATGTTAGAATTAATGATAATTTAAAGATTTAACATTATTACATTATTATATGATTTAACATTATTATTACACTATTATATCATTATTAAATGATTATAAAATTCTTTTCATCACTGAATTTACAGAAAATCTGTTTATGACTGTTGGTTGTCATCCAACGCGTTGTAAAGAATTTGAAAAAGATCCTGAAGGACCAGATGGATATTATCAAAAACTCTTAAATATTGCAAAATCTAGTGACAAAGTTGTAGCAATTGGAGAATGTGGACTTGGTAAGAATGATATTTATTATTAACCTTTTAATAAAATCTAATACTCACATTTGATCAACTTTTGGTAGACTATGATCGACTTTATTTTTGTCCAAAAGCAACACAGTTGAAGTATATTATTTCATAAATTATTTTATGATGATATTGTGAATTTAATTAAACTTATTAAAGCACACTTTTAATATAGATATTTTGAACGTCAATTTGATTTGGCCGAAGAAACTGGACTTCCAATGTTTCTTCATAATCGTAATACTGGAAATGATTTTATGGATATCCTTTTATTTCGTATTAATAGATAATAATTCTTACTTTAATATATGTACCTTAATTATGACATGAAAATACATTTGATTCAAAAGCATAGACATAGATTCAAAAATGGAATTATGCATTCAATTACTTGCACAATGGAGGAAATGGAACGTGCTGTTTCTTTAGATTTGTATCTTGGAATTAATGGATGGTTAGAAAATTTTTAATTCTTAATCTTTTAACATGTTCACATCACATAAATTGTTTTAATAATCTTTTATCATCATTATTTAAGTTCATTGAAAACACATGAAAATCTTGAAGTGGCGAAAAAAGTCCCAATAGAAAAGTTAATGTTAGAAACTGGTAAGGTTGTATTGGTTGTATTGGTTGTATTTCATATATCTCACATTTAATTTGGGTAGATGCGCCATGGTGTGATATTAGACCCACGCATGCTTCGTATAAACATTTAAATTTATCGAAAGAAGAAGAGTTGTTATATAAACCTCCAACACGTAAGAAGGAAAAATTCGAATTGGGATTTATGGTTAAAGGACGTAATGAACCTTGTTGTATCGGGTAAATATTGATGATTTATTATTTCATATTTATACTAAGATGACTTGATTGATAATTAATAAATTTATTATATGTAATGTAGGCAAGTGTTACATGTATTAGCTTCAATTCGTGATGAGAATCCCGAAGAATTAGCTGAAACGATATATAAAAATACATGTGAAGGTTTTAATTTAAAACATGAGTAGAATTTGAAATATAGTGTGTAGTAGATTTGATATAATAAATATTTATAATGTAAAATTGCAACTGTGTAGTGGTAAATTCAGATTTGATATAAATACAATTGCAATTGTGTAGTGCTAAATTCAGGTTTGATAATTAAAAATAAATATCTTATAATTGCAACTGCGTAGTGCTAAATTCAGATTTGATATAATTAAAACAAATATTTATAATTATAAATACTGTATCTAATGCCGAATGTAAAAAATGGTAATTGATAAGATTACAATAGGATTTACTTATTATAAAATTTATATATTTAATATATATTCAATTAAAATTACTTAATAAAAAATTACTTTATTAAAATAAAATAAACATTTTTCACCTTTTTTTAATTAAAAATTGTTTATTTTTTAAAAATATTCTGTTGAAAATTTCTTAATTATACAATATAAAAAAATTGAAATTTTTTTTAAAAAAAATCATGTGATAAACACATCTTTTAATATTAATCATCCAAAAATTGGTAGCATCTTTTTGTATTCCCGATCCTAATTTTCCTTAAACAAAAAAAATCAAATTTGAAGCTATAACTTTTTAATATGATAATATAATCAAACTTTAATTGAATTTAAGATCATACTTTCCCGTAAAAGTAAAACAATGTATATTAATAATCATAATAAAAAAAACAAATAAATTAATAAATATACCCACGTGAACGTGATTTTTTACGTACAAGTATATATGGGGCGTAATTTGTTCCAGATAACTCGGCATTTTAGAGCAGCGTAATAGTGAAATTTATTACACCACATTAAAAAAGTATTACGCCAGTATTACATCGATGTAATGCCGAATTGGTGTAATGTACCGTAATAATTCGCCACCCAAGTATACCATTAACGTGAATTTTTGCCGAATGAAGTGAAACCCAAATTTTTCGTCACCTTTTTTCGTCACTTTTCTTCGTCACTTTTCTTCGTCACTTTTCTTCGTCACTTTTTTTCGTCACTTTTTTTTTTTATCAATGGGAATTCGTAGCCTAATATATGACTCATATATATGAATGATATATATATAAACTTTCCATCAAGAAATAGTAAATTTGGATACCAAGAAAAAATAAACTAATAAATCATCTATTTTTATTGAAAAAAAATTGATAATCTGAAATATGAAAAAAAAAAAGAATAAGAAATATTTTAAAAAGTATAATTATATATAAGGGACTGATCAATCCAATAAATAAATAAACCACGAATTGTATAATGATAAATTATTAAAAAGGTTACACTAAATAAACTAAATGAAATCAAAAATTTCCCGACTATATTAAAATATTGAAGTGAACATCAAACCCATCAAGTGACACCAACTCATTGAGTGATATTAATTAACCCATCGAATATATTATTATTATTAACTCATAGAGAGTAACACCAAACTCATAGAGTGATATCAAGTACGAGTGACACTAACATCAACTCATCAAGTGACACCAATCCATCGTCCATAGAGTGACACCAAAACCCGCACCATCAACCCAGAAACCCAGGTCTCAGGCACATAACTACATAACTACAACTATATAACTACATAACTACATAACTCAGTAACTCACCATCGAAATCATCGGATCTTCTAATTGAACTTTGATGGAAAATGGTCATAATTATCTATTAATTTTACATTAACATAATCTTTAATCTCTTCAAGATCCTCATTACTTATATCACAATTCTTACCAAAATAAATTACTTTTAAATGATTATAATGAATCTTAATATAATCACTTATAGGTTTAAAATGGTCACTTGAATTTGAATTATTTGAATTCATAATTAAATTAAAAATTTCTATAGATTCTAAAGGAATATTACAATCTTTTAAAAAATCATTAAAAGGTAAACAAATTAAATGAATAAAACTAAGATGTAATAAAGTATTAGGTAAATAATTTCCTAAAACTTTTATAGTATGTTCATTTACATACCATAAAGTTAAATTTTTTAAATATTTTAAATTAATTAAAAGATTATAAAGATCAATACTCTCATATTCTGTTGCTAATAAAATTAATCTTTTAATATTTGAACAAAAATTTGATATAATTTTAACTATATCAGAATTTAATTCATCTAAAATTAATTCTTGTAAAGAAATACTAAAATAACGAATAATTAAACATTTAATATCAGAAATCATATGTCTTGACATATTTTCCACCAAATATAATTTTTCAAGTTGAAAATTTGAATTATTAGTAATAAAATTATCATTATAACGATCTTGATTATCACTTGTAGTAATAATATAACAAGATTCAAATCCAAGTACTTTTAAAGATAAGAAATTTGCCAAAGAATCCATCACATCATCATTTAATCTTAACTTTTTAAAATATAAATGAGTTAAATTAATAGATTGTAATTCTAATGTAGGCATAATTATATTATTTAAAGTTTCACCTTTAAATCTTAAATATAATTTTTTAAGATCCCTTTGATTTCTAATAATTCCACAAAGAGCCTTACGTAAAGTGATTCGATTATCATTATCATTAAAAGATAATTTAGAATTAAAATTAATTAATTGAATATTTTTACATAAAGAAGGAATAATATCAAATAAATTGATAATATTTAATAATAAATTTGAATTATTTTTATATAATTTAAAATCTAATCTAGTAATATTTGTTAAACCAGGAGTAAAAGCGAAAAAAGTGAAAATATCAGGAATATCAAAATGAAAATGATTATTATTATTATTATCATTATTAGAATTAACGTTAATAAGATTTAAATATGAAAGATTTTTACTTTTACTTATTAATAAAGGATATAAAATATTATTAATTAAATGAAAAATTTTTCTTTGTTCAATAGAAAAATCTTGTTTTATCATAAGAATTATCCAATGAATTATCATATCTTGTAATGATAAATTACAAAATTCTTCTAAATAAACAGGATAATCAAATAATTGATTATTATTTAAAGGTATTAAAATTTTATTATTACTATTTTTCATTAAATGAATTTTTTCTTCATTACTTAAACAAGAAAGATAAGTTGAAATAATTTTTGATTGTTGAGATTTATTTCTTTCTTGGTTTCTTGTAAATGGAGTTTTATATAATATAGGTATAGCGATTCTACACCAAAATCTATTTACTAATAAACAAGTATAAAGATTTTTATTATCTTGAAAACTTTCAAAAATATGAGAGATACATTCAATTGGTAAAGGTTGATATGGCATGATTATTTTTTTTTAAATAAATTTTTTTAGATTAAAAAATAAAAAATAAAAAAAAAAAAAAAAAAAAAAAAATAAAAAAAAAAAAAGAAAAGAAAATTTTTATTTCTTCCCAAATCGGTAAAGGTTGAAATTTGACAACTTATAGATCTACAAGATATGATATATAATTATCATATGAAATATGAAATGATAAATGATAAAGCAGCACACTTTATCTTTTGACGTGAAAGTTACACAAAGTTCCCAAATTCAGAAAGGAAAAATAAAAGATGCGAAATTCGGAAAATCGGTTAAGAAATTATCCTAATTATTTAAAACATTACGAAAAATTTATATATAGTAAATTGCAGAAAAAGAAATACAAGATTAATAATTATTTATATAATTTTTTTCGGATCTAAGGAGTTATTTCGTTCATCGATGATCCAAATGTTAAAATACGTGATGAGTAAATGAATAAATGATCATTTTGTCATTGTTATTTAAAAGAAAATTAAAAATGACTAATTAAGAATCATAAAATGGAAAAGATTTACATTCATTTAAAAATATATTGTTTACTAATTAAAAAATAAAATGGTTTAAATGAATTGTCTCTTTTTAGGATTACGCTGGATTACGCCTCAAAACGCGAGTAACTTTAAAGTGAAATTATAAAAACTCCACGATAACTTCAAACTTCATGATAACTTTACGATAACTTTACGATAACTATAACTACACCCATTACTACACACCTATTAGGCTATTACTACACTTATTAGCACACTTATTACTATACTTATTATTACACTTATTATTACACTTATTACTACACTTATTACTACATTTATTACTAAATTTATTACTACATTTATTACTACATTTATTACACTTATTACTACAAAATGATTGTTATTCCAGAGATACTTGAAATAATATTTTCTTATTTATATTATCCAGTATTTTATCCAAAATTTTTATTATCTTGCGCTTTAGTATCAAGATCTTGGAGTTATAATGCTCTTCCTTTTTTATGGAGTAAACCTTTTATTTATGATGATGTTCATAATAAAGAAAAACTTCATATTAAACAAGTACAACAATTTCGAATTTTTTTTTCATTTCTACCTAATCAATTTTTAAATCAATTGGGATTAAAATCAATTAATAATAACAATAATAATCAAAAAAGAAATATTAATTATAATTATTTATCATTTATTAAAGAATTTCATTATCTTAAATTATATGAAGCATGTTTAGAATTTTGGAAAGTTGAAATAAATAATAATGAAATTGATGAAATTGATTATAAAATTTTTGAAGAAATTCCTGAAAATTTTACTTTATGTACTTTATGTACTACTAATAATAATTCAAATCCTAATCATCCTTCAAAATATTTTATAAAATCAAAAATTTTACCTATTATAATTGAATTATTTAATTTAATCATTTATAATTCAAATATAAAATATTTTGATTTTTCTATACCAAAAAAGAAATGTTTTTGTGATTATATTCCTTTAAATTATTTTACCATTACTTCTTCTCCTTCTTCTCCTTCTTCTTCAAATCTTTCTTTTTCCAATTTACAATCTTTTAAATGTAATGGAAGATATAATTTTCCTTATAAAAAATTATTTATTGAATTAATTAAATCTTGTAAAAATATTTTAGAAATCAAATTGGAAAATTTCGAATTAATCGATGATAATTTGGATTGTTTAAAAAAACTCCTCGTTTCACAAAGAAAGTTACGTAATCTTGAATTGAATTTCTTAATTAAACAAGATTTTTCGGATTTATTTCTTTCATTAAAAGGACATTCAAATTTAAATTATGTTAAAATATCTTATTGTTTATTTAATAAGATTTTACCAATCAAAATTCTTTCTTCATGTAATAATTTAGAAGAATTAATTATTGAATCAAGTGAAATTGAAGAGAACGATTCTATTGAAGATACTGTCGATTCTGTCGATTCTTATGAATCTATCGATTCTATTGGTTCTAATATTATTAATATTAATAATAATTATAATAATGATAATAATTATAATATTAATATTAATAATATTAATATTAATTCAATTAATTCAATCGATTTAATTGATTATTATATTAATCCTATTGGTTCGATTAATTCGATTGGTACCAATTCTATTCATTCTTTTACTAAATTAAAATCATTAAAAATTATTAAATCCATATTACCTAAGAATATTTTTAATCAAATATTTTCAAATGAATCAAATTTAGAAAAAATCATTATTAAAGATATGGATTTATTAATTAATTATTCAAATATAATTCCTTTAATTTATTTAAATTGTAATCAATTAAAATTTCTTGAAATTAGTTTATCGGAATATACTTTTGAAAAAATTTTGAAAATATTAGAAAATTGTAATAAATTAAAAGAATTAATTATTTATGATGAAAATAATAATAATAATCATGATTATTATAATGTTATTTCAATAGATCATTTAACTATTGGTCAAGTTTTTAAGAGAATGGGAAATTTAATTTCTAATAATTTAAAAAAATTATTTATTACTTCATATTATTATTTTACTGAAGATGAATTTAAAGATTTCTTATTTAATTATTATAATAATCATAATAATAATGGAAATTTGAAACAATTAAGTATTAACATATGTGGTGATAAATTAAATACGTTAAATTTATTAAAAGATTATTCTAATGAAATTAATAAGAATTTAATTATTAAGCAATGGGACACGAAAAATTATGATGGTAAAAAAGTAAGATTTCATCAATTATTTTCCGTAGAATTTATTTAATATGTATTATTATAGGAGGGCAATGGTAACACCCGTTGAATTAATATAAGGGGGGAAGGGGGAAGGGTGATTGGTTTCTATTTTCGTATATATGTATGTACATGTTTACTGTAATTTCTATATTTATTTATTTTTTTTATTTTTTTCCCCGATATAGAATCTATAATAATTTCTATGAATTATTTTATTGTCTTATTAATGTACGTCTTATAATAAAAATGTACATTTCATTTATTTTTAAATTCCAAGCATTGTGACCATTTTATTTGCAGAATAATCAGTTACAACATCAAAAATTGACAACACCAAAGTTAAATAACAGATACAACATCAAAAGTGACAACAACAACATCAAAATAAATGTTCCCCATCCATTCGTATCCATTCGTATCGCAATATCGCATGCGTTGTGCGTTGGACTAATTCGAATAATCCGCACACCTTCCTCATTATTTACAATCAAAATTAATGTATGATTAAATCTTGATATACCATTATACTGTATATAACTAAACTTACAAATCAAATTCTTCAAATTCTTATCTTACAGCTGTACTCCAAATCAAATACAGTTATATTATCAACATCTGATTCAATTATCTTCCCCTTTGTTTTTACCCTTTTATCCTTCTACCCTCCAAATGTTCATGATGATTTGATGCTAACTAATGTAGATTGTAGATTCTTTCTTGAGTGATTCAATTGCATTTGATGAAATAATTACATTTGACGATAAAAAAAAAAAAAAATCAAATAAATTAAAGAATGCTAATTAATAATAATGATGATGATGATAATGATGATAAATGATGATATGTATATGTATTTAAATTGATAAATGAGATTGATTTCTATATTCTTCTTTAAGATTAACGATTAATTTCTGTGTTCCTTTCTTATTATACATTTTTCTAATTTTTTTTGTTAATTTATCATCATCAGTAACTTTAATAGATGAGGATAACATTGTTAAAGCGCGATCAAAATCAGATGAAAGTAATATTGCTAAAAGAATAAAAAATAAAATTTAGCTCCGGATAACAATAAAAATGAATTTTTGCATAAAAAAACTCACCTTCATTATATTTTAAAAGGGCAACAGCAACAAAATATAATATATCAAAACCATATAACATTAATAAATCCCATATTCTTAATAAAGTATGATGAGGTACGACATCACTTGTAAATAAAGTAATATACCATCTTGTAGCATAGGCTGTACTTGATATTTGTAAATTTTTCTATATTAATAAATAAAAAAAATATACTAAGTAATGATGATAATAATATCACAACTAAATATATTAAACGATAAAATACTTACAAAATGAACGAATATTTTATAAGCGTACTTATTCATTAATTTTTCTTGAACATAAAAACTTTCCATTAAAGCAGGAAACCCAGGTATATATAAATCATGTAAATTACACTTTGTAAACATTTTAGTCAACATTATAAATGCATACTAAAAGAAAAATTTAATTAGATATTCATCAAAGAAAACTTTTTTCATACATACTATTAAATCATAATTAACAACATACCTCTTCAGTATAATACATTAATAATATGGTAGCTATATTAGTCATTCCTTGACAATAACCAACTTGTTCATCATAATTAGAAAAAGCTCTTAAGACATCAAATAAAGCTCTTTGTCCTGGACCATATCTTGTACGAAACATTATATGTGAATGTAATGTTCTTGGTATATCCAAATCAATTTGCCTTTCGTGCGCTGAAGGTAATTTCAAAAGATCCTAAAATTAAAAAAAAGAAAGAATTAGATAAAAATAAAACACACATATACATACACAAACACACACAAATCATTCTTACTTTATAAGTTTTAACTAAATCTTCATCAAATTCAGTATCGGTACTTCCATTAGTAGCTAAATAATACCATACAGGACTTCTCCAAGAATCAGGAATTCCTTTACTTATCCTTTTAAAAAATTTAGAATCCCAAGGAAATTTATAAGAAGAAATACCAAAATTTCCAGAACGGACCACTAATTTATTATTAGAAACCCAATGAGCCCATTTTAGAGAACGTTTTGCATCTTTTTTATCACGTTTTTTTTCTTGAGTCGGAATAACCTTTATTTTTTTTCCTTCTGATGTTACAAAACCATATTTATCAACATTAGAAGAGAATTTCTCATCTTTTCTCAAATTAGATTGATTAAAGTGATAATAATCATAAATCATTCTAATATCACTTGAAGAATCTCTTAGATTTGATTGCATACTTAATCTTGAAACAGAATGAATAGAATGTCTTCTTAAAGATTTATTATTCTCATTATTATCATCATTATTTCTTAATCTTGGTGTACTCTTTTGTCTGCCGATTTTTGATTTTGTACGAAAACTATCGTAAGAGTAATCTTTTATCTTTGAGGTTGAAAAATATGAAGGTTGATCTCTTTTCAACATTGTTTTTTCTTTTTATGAAAGAGTAAAAGAAGTTTAAAAAGGAAAGGGTTGAATTTTTTTTAATTACTAGTAAAAAAATGGACAGATTAATTAAAATAAAATAACGAGACTAGGTTAATATATAAATAAAAAAAAAATTTTTAATGTACCATTTAAATACTAAAAGATCTACAACATGCATAAGAATGAATAAAATAAGTAATGTCATTTATTATTAAATTAACTAATTCGTAAAAACAAAATTTATTGGTATATTTTTCATTCACATGAAAATTGTGAACCGATATACATTTCTACGCCACATTTCATGAGAAACTATTCGTTTTGAGAAAACTTACGGATAAAGCGGAGTTGCGAGCATATTCACCTTTGCTCTCGCATAATGAAAGGTTAATATCGGACTGGAATTTTCATCACTACTAGATTTTTTGTAAAAAATCCCAAAAGTAACGATACACAACAATAGAAGATTCAGTTTATCTACTACGTTACTATGCACTGAATTTTATTCCTAAAAAAATTTTTTATAATTGAAAAATATTAATAAAGAAATAACAAAATTTCTTTTTATTAGCCTAACCGTGTAACAAGGAACACCAAAAAAGCATAATACATGTCTCATGGCTGATTCATGTAACCATAGGAACGATAGGAATGATAGATATTATAAAAACACCGGCGGGTAATTTTTAAGATTATGAGAGAATATAATACAGTATGATCTTTTTTTAAAATGCAATTATTGATTCGAAAGTTTGAACTTTGAAAGAAACAGGTTTTTATTTTAGTTAAATATCGAAAATCTATTTCCTTATTCCGCAATAAATTTCACTGATATGAAAATATATTTTATGGCTTTTTCATTACAAATTCTATTATTTCATTTACTTCATTTATTTTTATTTTCATAATGAACTTTGCATCATCGAATCAACAATTTCGCTATAAATAGACCTATAAAAAAAAAAAAAAATTCATTTTCTTTTTTTTCTATTTTCATGAGTGTCTGCTTTTGAAACTCTTTATAACAAAAAAAAAAAAAATGTTTCGGTTAACCATAATATTTGGATTTCTTATTATGATTTTTCCATATGCATATTTCTCTTTTCCACTTTCACCAACTTCTCCGGTTTCTACACTTAAAACGAGACAAGTAACTGGATGTAATACTACTTTTACGAAATCACCATATAGTAATCCAAAAACTATCACAACTAGCGATGGTAACGTTCATAGTCAACCATGTATGGGATCACCTGTGATTTGTTATTTTAAAGATGATGTAAAATACACAATAACTCAATATGTTACTGACGGTGAATGTGTGAGTGGTTTTTCTTCCATATGGTTTTATGTTATTGCACAATGTGAAGGTTATATTTGGGGTGGTACAACTAGTTATGAAGTTCAAAAATGTTCTATATAACAATGGTTTTGGTTTCTTTATATTATTTATTAGAATATAAAAAAATTATTTACCTGTCTATACTTTTTCAGGTTAATATATATATTTGTAAGTAAATTTTTTTTTTTTTTTTTTTTCCCAAATTTTCTAAATTTTATAAATAATATTAAAAAAAGATTAGAATTAATTTGTATTAAAGATTAGTTTTTTTTTAGTAAATATAAAGAGGGTAATACAAAATATAATTGCAAATAAAAATCAGTAGACAAAAAAATTTATTCAAAAACAATAAAGTGATCTATAAATTTTTTGGAATTTTTTTTTTTTTTTTGTAATAATCATATAATTTTAAATTATATTATATTATATATTTGAAAAAAAGAATAGACTTTCAAAAAATAATTTAAAATTATAATAAAATAAATTATATTTTACTATATAAAATTATATAGAATTTGGAATTATAATAAATTAAATTTATTAAATTTTAAATTTAGTTTTTTTTTTGAAAATATTTTAAATGAATATTTATATTAAGAAAATTAAAAAATAAAGTATAAAGTCTTTTTCTTATAATAAATTATAAGAAACTATAATTTCTATTCTAAAATTACAGTAATAATATCATTTAAAATAATGCTAGCTATTTAAATATATATTTTATATATATTAATCTAATAAGTATCTAATGTTTAAATAATATAAATGATAATACTGTATTTAAAATCAAAATTAAAGTCAAAAGTCAAAATATTTCAGTTTTGAAAGCTTAAAGTTAAATTAAAATCAAAATTGGCTGAAATTATATTATATTACATGATTTTAAATAGTTGCGGATTTTAAATTGCAATAACTCCAATAATATTAATGCTATAAATATAAAATATATATTATTACTAATATAATTAATGATGAAATATAGGTAAATCATTCTTTTTAGTTAATGGTAATGCAGTCTCAAGTGACATAAATCATGGACTAGTATTTCAATTCACAGATATGTCAATCTAATCTATTTAATATCCGTCACCTATCAATCTGATCTGTCTAATAAAATACAATTCAGATATCTGTAATGATAAATTGAAGATTATTTTAATATTTTAATAGATCTATTTAGAAATTCTTTAATAATCTAAAATATGGAAATTTACTAGATGTCTTTAAAGTTTAAGTAGCTGAAGAACTAAAAGATCTAAAGAAGAAAAATAAAATTAGTAAAAAGAAATAAAAAAAAAGTAAAGAAGAAAAGAAATAAAAAAAGTTAACCTAATTATTGTCTCTGAAGATAGGTGGTCAAAAAACTGAAGAATCTAATAAAATTAAAAAAATTCATATAATAATATTTGGATAATTCATTAGTGATACAGATAATCTAAATGATCTATTACAGATATTCTCTAATATCCATTTATTATTCATATCTGTTTAAAAAATCCTATTCAATTAACCGTAAATAGTAGATATCTATCTACAAATACAGATTATAGATAAATGAATTAAAATACTATTATAGACATGATTTCATACAATTTTGACGTATCACGTAATTAAAAAAATAATTAAATAATTAAAATAAATAAAAATATTAAACAAATTAGCATATTTTTTATTATTTGTATATAATTAAAAATAATAACAATTACTCCTTCTTTTAATTATTATTTAATATGTTACTATATGTAATACTATTATTTTTATATTATGATAATATTATAATGATAGCATATAAATAATTTACTCTAATTTAGTATTTAAAATTAGAGTTCTGAATGGGTTAGGTCAGGTAACTTTTCTAACCTGACCTAACCTATTTAACCTGAAAATATTTATAATAAATATAAAAAATACTAATATCTCAGCATTTAGTGATCATAGAAATATGAAACATAGCTCATTTAATTCATCTTAGTAAGACGAGTCAAATGGTAGTATGGTACTAGTTTTGCATTTCTAGATATGATAGATGATGAAATATTTAATAAAATATTAATAAATCAGTATTTTACATATTTGTTAAATATCTTACTACCTAGTGATTGTAAAAATATGAAACACAGCTTATTTGATTCGTCTCAATAAGACAAATCAAAATATCAAATGGTACCAGTTTTGCATTTTTAGACGTGATAGAAGTTGAGTTATATCACACATTGGCATTATTCATTTTCATTTACTATTCTATTTTATATTTTATTAAATATTTCATCATCTATCATACTTAAAAATGCAAAACTAGTACCATTTGATTCGCCTTACTGAGATGAATCAAATGAGTTGTATTTCATGCTTTTATAATCACTGAGTGGTAAGATATTTATCAAAGTATTTTTATAGTATTTTTATATATTAATTATATTTAAAATATAAAAAAATGCTAAATAAGCATTTTTTTTTTCCTTATAAATTAATATGAAAAAATGCCATTTCAGTATTTTTTTTATAAATACAAATAAAAAAAATATATCATAATGGTATTTTTTTATAAAACTACACTTTAATATTTTTATTTTCAGATCAACAGGTAAATTAGATTAGATTAAAACTTTAACCTGACCTGAAAGGCTGAAATTGAGTTAAGATTTGTTAACTTGACCTAAAATTTTCAGGTCAGCCTGATAGGTTACCTAAAATCACCTAACCTGTTTGAAACTCTATTTAAAATATCATTAATTATATTAATTGCCAATTTGTCTAAGATTAGTATTGCATTACTAATAAAATTTGAAATTAATAGTAATAATAAAAAAAAGCATTTTTTACATCTTATACTCAAAATAAGTTTCCATCCATTTCACAAAAGGAAATACCACTATAAATACAATATTTTTCTTCATTTTATAAAACTTTTTGACAAGTATGATTTATTATCCCTTAAAGTGTTTTGCAGCTAAATTTGGCTGTGATTTACCACTACTCATATGTTAATCTAAACCATAATACAATGAAATTCCATGGAATTCTCTGCAAAAATCCTGAAAATTCTGCAGAATTTAGAACAATAGTTATCATTTAAGGGATAACTATATTTCTGTAACAGATTTTTTTCAACTTTCACTTGTTTTTAATAATAAAAATATTAAAATATTTCAAATATGTCTTTAAAACAACTTTAAAAGCTAAAAATTATATGTTTTTAATGTAAATAATACAATATGTAAAATAAAATTTCATATATTTTAAGATGTAAATTTGACACATGTACATAATAAACTTATTATTTTGCATATAAATGTATAATTTTTTTTGTAAAATTATTTTTTCAGGTATTTTTTTTTAATATATTATATAACTTTTATTTATAATTAATATGTAAGATTCTAAATGGTCCAAATTGATCCAGGTTGAGTACTATAACCTAAAATCAAACTGAAAAATTAGTTTATTTCAGTTCAGTTCAATTTATATTAAAAAGATAATTCAGGACTAGACTAGGATCTTGAACAGGATCCACTTACTTATAAAATAGGTTACTTTTAGGCTTAAGATAAAAATCATATATAAATTTTTTTGCAAATCCTATTATAAAAAAAAATTTTATATTATATTATTATGATTTTTTTCTTTTTAGCTAATTAACCAATAGAATTTAAGAAAAAAGTAAGGTAAAAACTATTAGTAAAGAACTAATTTTCTATAGTAATTTTTATTATAAGTAAATGGAATCCTTCCTGAACATCTCTCATACAACTCAGAAATAATATATAATAAAATGCATTTTAACAATAATTCGGTTAATATTGATGCTAAAAATATGATTTTACTATCATTAGATTCATCAAATCTAATAAGTCTAAATTCACTAAAATTCAATTATTAGATCACTTAAAAACAGGAATATATATGATAAGAAAATTTGAAAATACCTTTAAAATACACAATTCTGATTAGAATTAATATATAAATTCTATAAAAACTTTGGAATCCTATTAGACCATACTAAACCAGTTATTTTAGTCTAATCCTATAATAAAAAATGGTATAAAAACATTTTTTAATTATAATTACTTTGAAAAAATATTTTGCAAAATTTTTTTGTTAAATTAATTAAAAATCATATGGGCTGATTTGTCTACCTTTAATTAAAATATTAATTTTATTACATTTTTATTATACAAAATACTATATAATATACAGTAAATTGGAAATGAGTATTAAAAAATTTTTATTTAATGTTATTATACTATAATTTGGTAAATATTTCTTTTAAATTAATATAATTCTTAGCACTTACTATATATGTTAAAAATTTGTATCTCAACTTAAAACGTAAATATCTCCAGATCCAGTGATCCAATTGGCAAGCTCTTTTTTCGTTCATATAGACCAGATCAAAGGCTTTCCAAAGAGCCTAAATTTATAAAAAATGGATCAGTGGATCCCAAGATATTTGCATTTAAGCATGTTAAAAAGTTCGTACCTCAACTTTAAACGTAAATATCTCCGGATCTAATGATTCAATCGGCGAGCTCTTTTTTCGCCTATAAAGTCCAGAACAAGGGCTTTCCAACGAGCCTAAAATTATAGAAAACGGATCAGTGAATCTTGATATATTTGCGTTTAAAGATGGTAATACAAACTCTGACATAAAATAATTATTTTTATTGTTTGAAAATATTTATTATGATACCATCTTTTATATGATATTTTTATTATACTTTTATAAACATTTATAGCTACTAAGGCTATATAAATTTTTATTTTACTTTATATTTTATTAAAATATACTTACTTTTTAATAATATATATTAAAAATTCCATATATATGAGAAATGGGTTTTTTATTAGTGAAATGGGTTTTTTTACAGCTCTTTTATATTTAATAATTTAAGTTTCGCAAATGTAAATTTTTGTTCAACTTATTATTTAGTCAAGTGATCATCAATCAGATGATTTTTTGGTATTACAAAACAATTTTGAGTAACAAAAATTGTGAAAATCAATCAATAACTCTTTTTAATGCAAAGTAAACAAATCAGCCCATGGGAGGTAATCAGTAAAAAAGGGAAAAATCCAAATTTTGGTCAAAATTTTTTTTATCAGTTTACTTTGCCAATTATAGCCATGGAAATAAAATTAGCTTAATAACCAAAAATCTTAAAAATTTTTGAATTTTTCCCTTTTCTACTGATCGCCTCCCATATTTTGATTTGAAAAGATCAAAAGTTGAAATTAAAGTCAAAATGGTCAAAATTACATCATAGTCATGTGATTTTTATAATTATAATTTAATATAAAATTTTAAACATAAATAACTCCATCAATATTGATACTACAGATACGAAATACATATTATTAGAATCCTGAATCCAACTGCATAAAGATCATAAAAATTGAATCATTAAATGCAAAGATCGTTAACTTTAAATTTAAAATTATTGTTTACTATAAACATTATAAGACTATTTAATACCAAATTCAAGACTCAGAAGAAATACGTTACAGTTACAATATCTATCAACCTTAACGAAGCGGTGCTGAATTAATGGAACGAAGGAGTTTGGATAGCTCCTCTTAGAGGTTTCCCGTATGATAGTTTCTAGCAGCTTAGGATCTAAAGTAACACAAAAAATGCAAGAAATTCCAGGCAGTTGTCTATGATATTCCCAAATCACTCATGACCGGTACTTTGTATTCTACTGATAACTTCACCTAATCGTTACTTTCTTCTACCAGTTGTAAAGCATTTAAGATTATACAAGACAAAGAGCGTACGAAGTTGATTACATATTACCAATTGTGTGTGAATTTGTATAAAGTCACTAATACTAATTTCAACTTCAAAGAATTTCTGGTGTGTGGATGAGGTATTTTGCGTCTTCTTTGAATCGACCATATAGGTTACCAAATAAAAATGGACCGCATCACAAGCAGAACTAAAAAGTAGACCTATCAGTAGAGCAGAATAAATCAAGTAAACAGAAGCAGGAGGGAGGATTCTATGTAAAACGCAAAACCAAACAGCTTGCTAAGGCTATAGAAAAGAATCTGAATAGTACAGCAAAACTAACCTTGTTAGCAGAAATTAAGTCATTATTTAATAGAATAGTTAACTGATAGGACGACTAGGCTATTCAGATGAGCTATAGGTGGAAAGAAAAGCTATAGTGGTTACTTATTACTTGATTTTACTAATTCCCTTTTTTATTATTTTATATTTTCACCCTAGCTTTTTTGTTGAATTCCTTTTTTTCTTTTTAATCTCAGGTTTCATGTTGCAGTTACAGTGAGTCTTGTTAGGCGCTCATATCTTTACAGAAACTTAACATTTTTAATCAATATAGAATCAATATCGTTAAGTTTATCTTAACGGTATCATTTTGATATCATTTTGATATCATTTCAATATAGATTTAATATCAATACGATATCAAAATAAAGTATTATCATTTCGATATCATTTTGATATTAAATTTATATCGAAATGATATCAAAATGATAATTAAAATGATATTGAAATGATATCTTTAAATTAAACTTAAAGATATTATTTCGATTAGTGTTCAGACCCAAGTTCTTAATAGGTAAACGGGTTGACCTGTTAAGAGAAATACAAACCCAGATTAGCACCTGCTAAGGAAAGTTTGACCCAGTTTCTTATCAGGTTAACCTGGATTAGATAACGGTTGATAACGGTTAACTAATGGTTTGATAAAGAGTTTTAACGGTTGAATAGCGGGTTGCTTAAAGGGTTTTAACGGTTGGATAGCGGGTTGCTTAAAGGGTTTAACGGGTTAATAAATGGTTTCTTAGCAACAGGTTTAAAGAATTAACGATAATATAAATGTAAGATAAAAATTAAAAAAAAAAATATTAATTTTTTTTTTTGACGATTTTTTTTTACATAATTATCTGAAATACATTACATGAAAATTCTTCAACCTGTTTAGCTAACCCGTTTAAACTGTTAACCTGATAATCTGTTACAAAACTGATACACGATATCATTTGTCAGGTTAAACCGGTTGTACCCGATAGTCAATTTTTAAACCCGGGTAGAATCTGTTAGTTAAATTTTTAAACCGTAAACCTGATATAAACGGATATCTGTTATAACCTATTAATAACGGGTTACGGGTCTGAATACTAGTTTTGATGTCATTTCTATTATCATTTTGATTATAGTTGTTTCCGAAATTCAATTGGCAAATCCGAAATCCGAAATTACGAAATCGTAATTAATTACATATTCCGAAATTCTGAAATTTGCATAATAGTGCAAAATTGCGAATATCTCTGGATCTAGTGATCAGATTTCGATGATCTTACTACCATTCGATTCGTCTCATCGAGACGAATCTAATGATATATGTTTCATTTCTATAGCACCGATATTGATGGAGTAAAATTACTATAAACATTTAATGAATTTTGGTGTCAGAGCACGATCTAGTGATTAGATTTGAATGAATTTACAACCATTCGATTCGTCATGACGAAACGATTCTAATGGCGGTAAGATCTTCTTTCTAGCATTGAAATTGGCGGAGCTATTATGCTATAAATATTTAAAAGTTATTGGTATCGGAGCGCGATCTAGTGATTGGATTTAAATGATCTTACTACCATTAGAATCGTCTTATCGAGACGAATCAAATGGTAGTAAGATCATCCAAAACGGATTACTGGGTGCCGAGTTATTATTTGTTAAAGTTTTTATATATAAATCGGCCAAAATTAAGGCTAATTCTGGCCAAATATTTTCGTAATACGAAATTAATTACGGTGTCCGAAATTAATTACGGAATACAGAGTTTTTCTAATGAATTACTTAATAATTACAGAATTACATAATTACGTATTTCCGTAATACTAAAATAATTTCGGACACAAGTATAATTTTGATATTATTTCAATATTGATTTAATATTGAAATGATATCACTTGAAAACTTAAAGTTTCTGTAAAGTAGAACAAAAACCTGGAGGAGGGTATCCCTCTAAAAAAAGACGCTTTAGAAAGCAGATTTACTCTACTAGTCCAGAGTTCTAATCTAACAGTGCACATATGGTTGCCCTGAGTAATAGACGGATGGTTTGATTCCTAATAATATTAGTTATTTTTTTCTATTTTATGTATCTCAATGTAATAGTTCAGTTATATATCTAATAAAGGTCCCAAATGTGCTGCAGCCAAAAAAAAAAAAAAAATTTAATACCAAATTTTAAACGTGAATAATTTTGTAAATATTAATATTACAAATATGAAATACATATCATTGAAATTTTTTTGATGAGCTGAATCCAACTGTATAAAGATCATAAAAATTGAATTACTGGATGTAGAGTTTGTTAACTTTGAATTTTAATATTATTGTTTACTATAAAATCATATGACTATGACATAATTTTGACCATTTTAATTTTCGGAGAGGTCTAAATCAAAATCATTTTGACTATTTTAACCATTTTGGAGGTTGAAATTAACCAATTTCAGTTTTATGTATAATCCAGATAGGACTCCAAACAATATTGATACAACTCACATTTGAGGTTGCTTGCGCTTGCTCTTGAAAGGAAGGAATAACAATATGCCACCCAGTTTGTATCTCACAACCCTACGCTATCACATCCCCCATATCGGCGGAATGTTTTAGTGGTAGTATTTGTATGGTCACATTGCATAACCTGAAACCATCATGGGTCAAATTTCAACACGATACGTTGTTTTTTTTACTCACTATTCATTCACTACATGGTATCCTAAGCCAGTACATTTATTATCAAGTTTCCCAACTTATGATGTAGTAGTAGTTTTCGCAGGTGCAACTTACATTTGATATACCTGTGCCGAAACTTATTATAAATGCCGAAACTGCTGAAACTCTGCCAAAACTATAATAAATCTATAGTAAAATTTTGATGAAACTAATCGTAGGATTTTGAAGAAGTTTAAATAAGCAACCTTAGTAAAGGCATTAAATATGAGCTTCAAACTGGCTAAAAACATTAATGATGTTATACCTAATATTGATGGTACGTATCACGCTATATTATCATTCTTCTCAGTAAACCCAATACTTATAATTTAGATATTGTCTAGTCTCCAAAGTCAAAAACTTTCCAGAAGTCTATTATCTCAACGAAATTGACAGAGCTTTTCTGAGAAAGCCAGATTTCAGTATTAGAAAGCTTCAGAAGCGGAAGAAAAATCCAATTAAAGATAAACGTGTTTTATCATTTATTAGTAAACTGTATCGTGCTGTAGAATATTCAGATTTGAAGATAGGAATGAGAGAAACTACCACAGACTCATTAATGGATGATTTACTTCGCATTGTTGATTTAAATGACTGGCCTCTTGTAATTAGGTTAGCTTTTATAGGAAAACTTTGATTATAATTGCTATTATGTATTTCTGTGATTTTACTAAATAGTTTTCTCTCAATCTAGGAATCACACATCATTCAACATATATATCAAGAATAATGCTTATGTGACAATACCTAAATTCATGGTAATGAACGAAGATAAAAACATTGCTCTTATTGCTATAGAAGTCTGATATCATTAATTGTCTAAATTTTTATTTTCGCCAACTAATAATACTTTTTTTAGCAGGGCATACACCTGCAAAATGTCAGACCACACTCTAACTTTGGGGAAGTGCAGATTGCTGCAAAAATTCTCGCTTGTGCTTATCAGAATATACGTTTTTTAGATTATGATGTTCATATTCAAAAGGGTCAAGAGGATCAATATATAAATCAGACGATATTTGCAATTCGTGTAATATCTACATATGTCACGTTTTATAAAGCTGAGATCCCTTCAAAATATTTGGAAGAACTTGATGAAGGCTTACTGCAAGAACAGAAGATTGAGATTCTAAGATGGCCAAATAGGAATGGTGCAAAGACCAGTTATAATCTCGCTCAACCAAATGGAAGACAAAATGTTTTGATATCATTAGTCAAAATTCGGGAATGGAATTTAAGGAATTTAAGGAATAAGTGGAGGAAGAGAAGGAGGAAGAGGAGGAACTCAAAACAAAAAAGCTCAGAAAAATAAAAATATAATTATTTTAATTCCAATGAAATGTTCTATTAACATTTTATTTTCCATTTTATTTTCCATTTCATTACTTTCAAAAATAATGCTAATATTGTCATTATTAAATTGGACCATCTAATTCGATTTGACTGTGTATGAAATTTTCATATGCAGACATACGCAGTCATTACAATTAACTCCAGTGACACCCGAAAAAATTCCACAATAGTAAATTTATTCATCACATGTGTCACGTCCCTCTGTGTTTAAGTATCTGAGGGACAGTTTTTTTCGATTCGTCAAAATCCTATTTGTCACTCCCTTAGTCGTCACTGTTTATTCACGTGTTACTGCATAGTGCCGGCCCTGTGCGGAATTTTTTGGGCAGATTTTCGGGTGTCATAGGGGCAGTTCAGCATAGTACTGCGGATGACTGCATAACGTTCCGGGCAGATATTACCATGTGTATGACTGCGTATGAAAATTTCATGCGCAGTCGAAAAATGAATTAGGTGTCCGCGAATAGCTTCAAGATCATTAAGTTACTTTAAAATTGTGAGCCATAGGAAACCGCTGCAACAAAATTTTCGTATTTGGAAGGAATCTGCGCAAACCACAAGTAATCTCACAACGTAATACTTGAGTAATAATACTGGAAGTCCGGAATGAACTCTAGGAACAAAATTTTCCTTATGAATATCATCTTTATCAAGATTATAGTCGATATATTGATATAACCAACGCTCTTCTTTAGTATTAGGACCTTTATAAAACAATTTCCATTCATTTTATGAATATTGAATATTATTGTTCTTTTTATAAATATGATCACGGAGAAAGAATCTTGAAAGTCACGTTTAAAGGGGCTTACATATCCGTGTTATTAATAAAGTGCAATGGAATAAAAAAAATTCGTGTTTGATTAGATTGCCAATTTGACCAGTCCGTCCAATGCTCATCTGTTCGTTTTGCTGCAGTTTGATTGCCATTTTTATTCACGTGTGATATATTTATCAAATTAATTATCAATTTATTTACCATCATAACATTATTCATTATCAACCAAAATTCCAAAAGTAAATCCCTTTCTTTCTTCCTGGCCATCCCTTCTTTTTAATTGTTCCCACAATGAAGATCGCTTTTTATTCTTCTCTCTTTTCTCATCTTCATTATTATCCAATTCCAACTTTTCTAAAATCCCTGGATAAAATTTCTTAAATTTTACACAAAAATCATTATAAATGTCCTTACTATTAGGCCACACTAAATTAGAAAATCCGGATATCTGATGTGGTTTATCACGAAGAAATAAGAGTACATTCTTAAGATTCCATGTTCCAACAAAATTTTGTGTCTATTTAAATAAAAATAAAAAAACAAATGCATTAACATAAATCCATTACATGTAATCACAAATCGTATAATTAAAACTCATACTATAGCAATAGAATCCTCTAGATTAATAACCATATGCCACCATCCATTCGGTACAAAAATAATTTCTCCTTCTTTACATATTCCTTCTAATGGACGCGGTTTTGATTTTTGAGTTTCTTTATAAAAATTTAAGTGCCATTCCATTATCGACACTGGTGATGTTACTTCGGCCTCATCTAATTTTTATAATTCATAAATCATAATTATGCGATAAATAATAATTTTAATAAAACTACATTTATAATAAAATACCGGCGCTAGTAAAAACTCCTGGAGGTAATATGTCAGGTGGGTACATTATCCATTTCTTAGAACCTGTTATAACAGCGTTCCAAGCAGAGGTGGAATTTGGATCTTTATGAAACGTAGATCCTGAATGTGCTGGCCCAATAATTAACCATCTTTTAAAACAATTAAATTAGCATTAATGAAATAAGAAAATCTGTTTGGTTTTTTTCTTACCTATAATCAGGCCTATTCTCTCCAAGAACACTAAAAAAATCTTCTTCAAAATATTCAGGTACACTAAAATCATCATCAATCCCATCACACTTTTTACAAAATTCTTTGTCAAATAGATATAAAGGACTTTCATCCATTGTATTTTTATAATAACTAGCATAATTGTTTAATTTAATATCAATAGCTTCAGCACGAAATAAAACATTTCCATATTTTTCTACAAGATATTCCATATTCCATTTTTTTGACGCAGGCCACTTAGTTACAACATCTGTTATAATAACAGGCTTATTAGGTATAGCATACTCTCTAATAAAGTCGCTTAACTCTAAATTTGACCGTCGATCTATGTTCTCAACTCCCAAGTACGCTTCCATTCCCGTAGAGCTACATAGAAAAGGTTGAAATAAAGTATCACTATAAAAATTAGATAATTTTATTGTAGATTTCTTATAATTTGAAACTGGCTCTAAATAATATTCCTTGCAAGATCTCTTTAAAAAAGTTAATTTCCAAGTTCCTTGCCAATACCAATCTCCATTATATTTTTTTATAATAAGTTGTTTCCATAAATCGTCAAATGTTGAAAAACAATATAATACCTTGCTTGTTAATCCTAAGGATAATAGATCTCTAGCATCAAAGATTCCTAAGATCTCTAAGATTAAATCATCTGTTAAAATTGCTAAATTTCCTAAACTAGATCCTCTACAATCTCCTTTAAAATTGTTGTTACTTTGATCTAAGTAATAATTTCCCCAAGGTTTGATGCCAAGTGGATGTTGCATCATAAGAACGTTACTCTTTTTCTTTTGCCGAACATGATCGTAATTTTTTGTTGAGTCGAACTCATCATCGAGATCGATTTTTCGTTTATTGGGTATACGATCTTGTTGGGACAAAAGTGCACACATCTCAAAAATTGAAAAAAAATTATTTAACTGATTGAAACAATGCAAAAACTGGCAATGTAAATCGAAGATCTGGAAAATTTTCATGTAGTGTAACATGTACATGATCTTAGATCATCGATTATCGTTTATTTAAATTTTTAAAAAGGTTTCTTTTACTATCACTTACGGCAAAGTTTTAATTATTAAAAAAACCAGTAAGAAAAAGGAAAGAAAGAAAGAAAGAGAAGAGAAGGAAAAACGAACCATAAAACCAGAATAAACCTCAAATGGGTATTATTACAAATAAGAAATATACTAAAAGCACATAATTGTAAACATCTCTTAATTCCTTATGCAAGCGATAGTTCTATAAAAGTTCATATTTTCAACACTTGTGGTTCGATGTGTTAGGCATTTATGGTACTCTAAACAACAAATGTTAAATATAATAAGATAGAACAAACAAATAAAAAGAAGAAATAATAAGTATGATCATCAAAAAAAGTAAATTCAAGAAAAAAAATTGACAGTAAATTATTACTCTTTGTTATAAGTGCACAATATTTATTTATTATTTAAAGAGAAAATTAAGAATAAATTTTTTTTTTTGATTTCGGTTCAGGATACATCTAACAATACATTTATTTATCAATTAAGTCTAGATTTAAAATAAAAAACACCAACCTTGACGCGAAATCTACACCAATCAAGATGCATAACTGTATAATTGGAATAGGAACGAGCAAAGTGTTAACATGAAGCCGTACAAATTTAATATTGGACATAAATGAAACATGTATATTTAATTACCGTTTAGTCCATTCTCTAGCAATTTTATCATGTTCCTCACGGTCATTCAAATATTGATGTGCGATGCTTCCAACTAACGGATCATCTATTGACGAGAAATAGGTTGATAAGTATTAATTAAATGATGATATAAAGGCACGTGTAAAACAGTAATCATAACTCACGTGGATTGGCATCAGTTAATAGTGAGCATATCGATAACAAGACTTTGGAAATTGTCAAGGCGGGAGACCAATTGTCTTTAAGAATGTCGAGGCAAATTTGACCTGAGGAATTGATGTTACAGTGATAGATGCGTGTGCGATACACCACCTTGACATAGCAAACACGGTGAGTTAATTAAAATTATAATTAAAAAGAAAAATGATAAAATTTGCTATTTATATCATATTGAAAACAGTGGGGTTTAATACCTTTGGAGGTTTGAATGGGTAATCTTGCGGAAAAGTGATATCTAAAAAGAAAATACCACCAGCATAAGGCGAACCAGTAGGACCCATCATGGTGGACGCCCATTCATATAAGTTGTCACCTTTAGGACCAGCACTAACGTAATGAGAATAAAAAAGTATGAAAGTCGTTAGTAATTAAATACGAAATCCAGAAATTTACTTGACCTAATGCAAATCTACATAAATAGTAAAAACTAATCGAATGTAATTAGTATTACGAACCTGCAGTTGCAAGGAGGATCAAGACTGATCTCGGCAAGTTCTTTCTGGATCCTAATAATAACGGGGAAAAAAATATATAAAAACGCATTGTCAGAATTTTAATATTGATATATATATTTGTATTAAATTTCGTTAAATCTAATTATAAAAATTTAAAAAGATCGCAAGAGAGTCGTGTTCGATTTTTGGTACAAAGGAAAAAGTTTATTTCACCTCTTTGCACTACTACTAGTAGCATTAGTCTTAGATAAGACACTTTTATTGCTAGAAGTAGATGAGCTTGCTGAAGCAGAGGTTGAAGAGGTAGTAATAGTAGAACGAGAGCTTGCACCGCGTCTAGTAGAGGTACTCATTTTGAAAAGTATATTTGGTATATGAAAGTATACAGTAATTTATGAATTGAGAAGAGAGGATGGATTTTTTAGGTTATGTTTCGCTAGGAGGTAAAGCTGGAGATTTGCTTGTGGTAAATGTGCTTGTTGTTAAGTCCCTATTTGAATCAAGTGAGCACTTCAGAACTAGTTACTAGTAAACAAGAATGGGAAGGTGACCACATCCCTTTTTTATACACAGCCCGCATATCTGCCATTCATCATTAAGCTATAATTGTATCTATTGATAACTCGAAAGTATAAAGCTTATGACAGTTTTCTTTCAATGCATCATCTAAGGAGAAATCAGTAGCACGAATCGGTAAAACGTGTGATTTGTGATACCACGTTCCTAATATTCGAAGAGTCGTTACAATTTATATTTTATTTTGAGATGTAAAGTATCATATTTTATAAAGTTAATGTTATTTCATTTTCACATTTACTCATTTTATATCACGTTATTCTGGCCTTCCGAAGGACTACGAAAACTCAAAAAATGGCCCGATAGATATATTAACTAGCCACCAGGATTTATGGGAGACAAACACGTGTAAGAAAGATTTATATGTAATAAATCAAAGCGAATTTCTAATCTTTAATAATAGTTGCTCACTTGCTCTTAATAATATATGTATACCATTTCCTCGTATATAAATTTGTGAACCATTCGTTTTATTCGCGTAAATTATTCTTAATCCGGGCTAAGTGGCGATATTGGTTAATATCTATGAATTCTATGCAATATAGCAAAAAAAAAAAGAAATTTACGCGAATTCAGGTATTTGCACATAATATAAAAATACTTTAATCGGATCCAATAAATTAGTTCTCGGCCCAATTTTCAATAGATTGTAAAATAACTAAACAGTGCAGTAACTTTGTTTTGTAATCACAAATTCACCAAAAATTTTATATTTTCTAAAAGATATCTCGATGTCTTATTGCCATTTAAAGTGATTAGATGCGAGTAAAATCAAAATTACGTAATATAACATTACTTATTTTATTCAATCTTATTAACGAATTTAAATTAATAATAAAAAACCTATTTTGTAAATCATGCATGCGTTTTTTTAATCCTGATATCCCTTTTGTTTCTCATAAACCTCTCTAACCGAATCCAAGAACATTTGACTGTCAATCAAAGAATGTAATTGGTGTTCGTCAGATACTTCAATCATTTCAACTAACTGCGGAGTCCCTTTCGTAGCTAATAATCTACTACCTTCTATTTCAACTATTTTATCCTTTGTTCCATGGATCAATGTAATTGCAACTATATAAAGAGGAATGAGAAATTATATTGTGAAGGAACGAATAAAAAATTCTCCAATTTTACCTCCTTCTGGTAACCATAATTTTGATGGGTCATAGCTTTGATAACGAACGAACGCTTGCGCAAGTAAAATTGTTGGTCCTTTCCATGTTCCTAATATACCAAACCAAGAAAATCATTAATATAAGAGAAAAATTAATTCTAAAAAATATTTAAGTAAAAACCTTTTTGAAGCATTGTAACAGCAATCGCACCACCATAAGAACTTCCAACTATAACATCAGGTTGAATTTCTTTAACAAATTTCTCTTGCAGTCTGAGATCTGCATCAAAATCTTGTGTTGGCTGTATGTCATGCATTCAGCAATCATATAATATTGATGAGAGATCAAAGATATAATTTAATTCTCACCGTACGAAATTCCATTTTTATAATAAAAATAAACATTTTACCATATCAGCGGCATAAACATTAAAATGTTGCTTTAAAAATTGACATTTTCCTGTTTGAGAAGAACTATAACAATGGTCGAATCTATTAGGTTCCAATCATAAAAGCAAATAACTTGGGTAACATTATTACCTTTCACGACCATGAATGTAAAGAACTTTGAGAGCTTTATCCGACATAATTAAAATCAAATTTTGGATGGTTGCACGAACTGGACATTTATAGATTCAATGTGGCTTGTACGTAATAATGTAATAATGACAATTTATTTATTGAACATAAACACGTGACTAACTTTAGAAAGCGCGCCTATAATCAAAAACTACATATTCAAAATAATCTAAATATAACATGTATTGTATTATCTACAATGCGGTTGGTTCATATCTTTTATCATTAGTCTTCCTTTTTTTACTCTTTTTGAATTTAGAAGTATTCCCTTTCTCCTGATTGCTCTCCTCTTCTTCAATAATAGCAGCACGTTCAACCTTCTCTTTTTCTATACTCTCAGTCTCATGGATTTCTTTAATGATTAATCCTCCTTCACTATTAACATGAGGTGGCGTTGCGACTTCTGCAAGATCATCATCAGCAGTACGTTTTTTACGATCATTTTGAGATTCGTCTTCAGTAGTATAATCTGAGGCATTGCCTTCTGATGATTTAGATAAAATTTCATAGTCAGCAATAACATCCTGTTTCTTTTTATCCAAAACAAAATTATCGGGTAATTCTTCTATAATTATGTTGGGAGTAATTGTTTCTTCAGTTGGTAGTGATACCGGAATAGCAGGAGATTTGGACATTATTTTTTGACAAATTTCTTAACTTTTTTTTTTGAGCAAAATTCCTAATAAATGATAAACAAAATCAGATTTAAGGTAACGTAACACCGATTATAGACATGCTGCGGTTCTTGAGTAAAGTCGCACAGCTTTAATTAGATCTTGATCGTGATGCCACTTTGATAACAACTTCTTTTGAGGTAGGCTAAGAAAAGCGTTAAGTGTTGTGAGTGAAGAAGGGATAATTTATAGTTTAATGACAGTACCATGATAGAACTTCCAAATCAATATGATACTTCACGTCTTCAATCGACAAATAACTTTTCCGTCACTTCAACGAGTGAATCGGTGGTATTATTGGAAGGCCATACTACAGAATTCAAGCCACTTAAATACGTATGTTTTAAAAAATTTTTATCTCGTTTTGAATGGATTAATCAATTGATCGATTTTATTTGTGTTAGGTAATGTTAGCCGGAGGGCTTGGTGGTTCAACTGCCGATTTCTTGATGCATAGGTAATTTATTAGAAAACATTCATATTTTTTTTATTCGCGTAGAAATTTGTAAACATCTATTCAATTCCGATCTTTATTTAATAGTATCGATACAGTAAAAACTCGACTACAAGGTCAAAAACTAGCCAAACCTCCAAAATACCAAAATATGTTGCACGCTTATATCACAATAGTTAAACAAGAAGGTATAGCGCATGGATTATATGGTGGTATTGCTCCTGCAATGTTAGGATCAAGTAATTTACATATTTTAAAAATCTTAAATTTTCTTGCGTGCAATATTATAAAAATTAAAGGTTATTGACAATGTAAATTTTTTTAGTACCAGCCACTACAATATATTTTGGAACATATGAGTTTGTGAAACGTAAGATGATTGGACTTAAAATTGGAATTCCAGATACAGTTGTGCATTTAACTGCTGGTGAGAAAACAGCCGTTCATTTCTTTAATTTTTATAATTCTTTTTATTATATTTACATTTTTAAAATTATTATTTTATCAGGATCTATCGGCGATATCATGGCATCTATTGTATATGTGCCTTCTGAGGTTTGTCCTGTAACTTACAGTATTCATTTTCATGTCATATGATTAATAAATAAATGTATCATTATTAATTTAGGTATTAAAAACAAGATTGCAACTACAGGGACGATATAATAATCCACATGTTGTTAGTGGATATAATTATAAAAACACCTGGCACGCTGCGCAGATGGTTCGTTTGCGCCTTGGTGGTTCGTTTGCCATGGGCTACTTTATTTGATTTTACGTTATAACTTATTTTATTTTATGATCAAGTATTTGTCATTAATTCTATTTCCTTTTTTTCTTTTAGATATATAAATTGGAAGGGTTTGGTGCATTTTATCACGGATTTAAAGCAACTTTGTTAAGAGATGTACCATTCTCAGCATTACAATTTGCATTTTATGGTAGTTTTTTTTAAAAAAATATTTCTATAAAAAGTTTGTTTATTTATCATTTTTGTTTTGCCTTTTTATTTAGTAGATCACTAACGTTTATAATTTTTTATAAATTTACGTAGAGAGATTTAAATTATGGGCAATGTTGTATAAAAATAGTAATAATTTAAGTTTAGAATGGGAGATCACCACAGGAGCTTTTGCAGGCGGATTAGCGGGAGCATTAACAACACCATTGGATGTAATGAAAACATTATTACAAACACAGAAAAGACCAACGACAAAAGCAGCAAAACAACCTTCGCCTGCACCTTCAAATGCTTCAAAATTAACTCATCATTATTATTCAGGAATATGGGAAGGCTTGTTATGGAATTATAAAAATCAAGGAATTGGAGGACTATTCAGGGGGATTGGACCGCGTGTAGCATGGACTTCTATGCAAAGTGGATTAATGTTTGTTATTTATGAACAAGTTCTTGAATTACTAGAAAATGTTGAAAAAAAGAATATTAAGATACATCAGGACAATAACAAAACTTTTGAAACAATTAGAGATATTAAATAGAGTATAGCGAGTACTGTTGTGATGATAAGATCATATACCTTATTATAGAAGTATATAGCGTTAAAAAAAAAAAGAAAAAAAAAATTTGTATATACTCTGAATCAAAAACATATATCTTGTATTGTATATGAACAATATACAGTACAAAAAGTAAAAAAAAAAAAATTATTATTTAATAGCAATAATGCCATATATTATTAATCACTATGAAGCACACTACTTAGGAAGTATGGTACCTGGAGTACAATGTATTATATAAAATTTCAGGGGGTACTATTCTTGCAACAATGCGAACAATAGCGATATCTATGTATAGTACCCTGAATATGTGTAGATCAAGAAGGGAGAGGGATACTGGACCCCGGATATTATAATTAGTCATAATGTTTCTAACTTTGTAGGTAAATTTTTTTTTTTTAATATACTTTTTTTTTTTAAAAAAAAAAAAATAATAATATATTTTATATCTATATATTTTATGTATAATAATAATATAAAAAAATGTATAAAATTATTCTTATTTCAAAATCTAATCAATGAATTTTAATATCAAAAAGGTTTCTTCTCTTTTAAAAAAAAAGTACATTTAATTTTTTTTTTGTTATTAATAAAATATGTTACTTTTCAATTAATAATTTAAAGACAGAAAAATAAATTCACTCCTGCCTCGCCTCACGGGGATGAGAAATTAATGGTTTTTTTTTTCACAATATCGGTAATATTGTACATCTACATCTTGTTTACCTTGTAATTAAAAAAATGACCGAGCAATCATCTACTTTAATGATTATCTTTAGTATTATAAAGAGGAACAATGGATTTGAAAGTTGATTGATTGATAATTTAGGTTTTTTTTTTTTTAAAAAAAAAAAAGAGAGATATGATGACATATGACATATGATACATTTTCATCTAATTCAAATTTGATTCATTAA